ATGTCGTCTGCAAATAGGGATATTTTGACAGTTTCTTTACCTATTTGTATTCCTTTTATTCCTTCTTCTTGCCTAATTGCTCTGGCTAGGAATTCCAGTACTATGTTGAATAGGAGTGGAGATAGTGGGCATCCTTGTCTGGTTCCTGAGTTTTAGAGGGAATGGTTTTAATTTTTTCTCCGTTAAGTATAATGCTGGCTGTAGGTTTGTCATATAAGCTTTTATGATGTTGAGGAACTTTCCTTCTATTCCTAGTTTTCTTAGAGCTTTTATCATGAAATGATGTTGGATCTTATCAAAGGCTTTTTCTGCATCTATTGAGATGATCAAGTGGTTTTTGTCTTTGCTTCTGTTAATGTGGTTTATTACGTTTATTGATTTTCGTATGTTGAACCACCCCTGCATCCCTGGGATGAAGCCTACCTGGTCATGGTGAATAATCTTTTTGATGTATTGCTGAATTCGATTTGCCATTATTTTGTTGAGGATTTTTGCATCAGTGTTCATTAAGGAGATTGGCCTATAGTTCTCCTTTTTGGAGGTGTCTTTGCCTGGTTTTGGGATAAGTGTAAGTACTGGCTTCATAAAAATGTGTTTGGCAGTTTTCCTTCCCTTTCTATTTCATGGAACAGTTTAAGGAGGGTTGGTATCAGTTCTTCTTTAAAGTCTGATAGAATTCAGCAGAAATCCATCAGGTCCTGGACTTTTTCTTTTTGGGGAGACTCTTGATTGCTGCTTCAATTTCATTTGTGTTATAGGTCTATTCAGGTGATTATTTCCTCTTGGTTCAGTTGGATGATCATATGTATCTAGAAATCTGTCCATTTCTTTTAGATTTTCAAATTTATTTGAATATAGGTTCTCAAAGTAGTCTCTGATGATTTCCTGGACTTCCATGGTGTTTGTTGTTATCTCCCCTTTTGCATTCCTAATTCTACTAATTTGGGTTTTTTCTCTCCTCATTTTAGTCAGGTTTGCCAGGGGTCTATCGATCTTGTTTATTTTTTCAAAGAACCAACTTTTTGTTTCATTAATTCTTTGTATGGTTTTTTTGGTTTCTATCGTTGATTTCAGCTCTTATTTTTATTATTCTCTCCTTCTATTTGTTTTGGGATTTGCTGTTTCTTGTTTTTCTAGGAGTTTGAGATGTATCATTAGGTCATTGATTTGGGATCTTTCAATCTTTTTAATATATGCACTCATGGCTATAAACTTTCCTCTTAAGACTGCCTTAGCTGTGTCCCATAGGTTCCGGTAGGTTGTGTTTTCATTTTCATTGACTTGCAGGAACTGTTTAATTTCCTCTTTTATTGCATCGATGATCCATTCTTCATTAAGTAATGAGTTATTTAGTTTCCAGCTGTTTGCATGTTTTTTGTCTTTACTAAGAAAAGAGCTTTTAAAATTTTTATGTATGACTGATTGTGCTTCTACAGATATTTTCATTTTTTCAGCAAACATTTGTCCAATTTTGATTCTGTACCACTCTAGGATTCACAGTAAATAAGATGGATGTAATAACTGTCCCTATAAAGTTTAGAGACTACTGGGGGAAAACAAACGTTAACAAATTAGTTCTTAAGTTGAGAGCTATGAAGAACAATTATCAAGAGCCCAAGGAAGGTTCAACAGCAGACCTGACCTACTGTGTGTGCTTAAGGAGGCTAAAGGATTTTGTTGGACATCGAGGTTTTCCTAAAGGATAAGTAGAAGTTGGTCAAGTCAAAGAGAGGAAGTCAGGGGACAGCTTTCTAGAAAGAAGGAACTGCATGGGTATATGCCCCTAAGGCAAGAAATATCATGATTCCCTAAAAGAACTGAAAGAAACCCAGTAAGAAAACAAAAGAAGCATTTTTCTTTTTCTTGCCTTTTCTCTCAAGACTTTCAAGGAAGTGTAGGCTAGACTTGTTAACAGTACTGAATGGTAAATATAGCTTTAGACCTTTCTCTCATAATCCTTGGTGCTTGGGTTTTCTGAGTCACCTGATGTGAGAGAGAGAAACATCACCTATCTCCCTTTCAGGATTAGTTTTTCAAAAACACTTACACCACTAATTAAAGTGTTTTGAAAATAGTCCTATTAAGTACCAATTGTTAGCACTGCTTATTACCTTGAGTAATCTAATTGCAGGGCTTGTGTATCAGATTATGGCATATGATCTGAGTTCATAGAGTAGAGGAAGAAAACCAATTAAAGTCAGGCTTTGGAGAAGTTTGCTGCAGTTGTAATATGCTTGACCTTCACTTTCCTCTGCAAGTATCTCAAAGTCAAGGAAGTTTTAATGACAGGGAAGTGAAGTAATCATTAGAAGATGTTACTGCCCCTCACAGGAACTGACTCATGTATTTTCAGATGAAACCATTGAATTTTAGGAAGAGCAAAACTCAGAAACCTGTTTCCTACCAGGAAAATGTCATCATCTCATTTAGGTTTTTATTACGCATGATGTTCTCTCTTGGTTTTTATGAATTCCTTTCATGCATTTTTTTCTGTGAAGTATCATGGGCTTCAGAATTGGTACTGCATGTAACTTTGATCCCTTTAGCCTTCGAATGGGGTGAAGTAGTGCTTTCAAGCTTTTCATCAAATGGTTAAGCCATGGTTCATTCATTATTGCACAAGAAAGGTTACCAGGGTCAGGGTAAGTAGGAGGGGCGATTGACTTCAAAAGGGAAACTCTGGAAGGTGATTTCCTTGAAGGTACCTAGAATTTCTAGATAAGTACACCCCCTTCTCACTCCCATCATTCTATAGTCATCTAGACTCTCATAACCTCAGGACTATCCTGACATATACCAACTCCAGGTAGGTGTTATGGATCACATTCCCAAATGGCAGTGAGCAGCCTCCTTGTAATGACATGTTCAAGTGCCTGGCCCTCCTACTTACTCTCCAAATCTTTCCTTGTCAGTCTGTCCTCTGTACTGTCAAAGGCAGTACACCATTCATTACTCTAAGCAGAACACTGCAATGGTGGGACTTTTTTTTTCTACTTTTCCTGCAGTTTTATATGTAGAAATGTAAACAGTAAAGAAATAGAATGAAGTTTTGCATGCGTATAAAAAAAACACACCTAATGCCCTTTAATAGAATAAACTAAGTGTATTGAGATGTCTTTATACAGTAGACTGAATTACAGCAGTGAGAATGTCCAAACTAGAGCTAGATGTAATAACATGGATGAATCTTACAAATATGATAGGCAAAAAATACAAGTTGTAGTTCTTCCTAGAAAACAGTAAGGGAAGTATGCTTTACAAGGGTACAATGATTTCAACTACATAGATAATGTATTCTTTAAGGTTTGTTGTGAACATATGGTTACTACATTATGTTTTTGTATCTGAACTGTTTTATGATAAAAATCATAAGGTGGACTGGAGACATGGCTTCAAGTGATAAAATGCCTGCCTAGCAACTGCAAAGCCCTAAGAACCTAGTACCTCCAAAAACTATAAATGCATATAAGGTGAAAAGACAATTTGCAACAGTAGCTCATGCCTATAATCCTAGCTACTAAGGACACAGAGATCAGGATGATCGCAATTTGAAACTAGCCCAGAGAAATAGTTTGTGAGACCCTATCTCAAAAATACCTAATGACAAAAAGGGCTGATGTAGTGGCTCAAGTGGTAGAGCGCCTGCCTAGCAAATGTGAGGCCCTGAGTTCAAACCCAGGTTCTGAGTACTGCCAAAAAAAAAAAAAAGACAGCTTGAAAGAATATACTTCAGTCTGTTCTCATTTAGCCTAGCTGTCTGGAATTACAACTGGTATTTCAGTGTAAACCCAGAGGAGCCCCAAGATCTTCAGTCATTGAAAAGATTTTCAATTACATTTATTGTAGTTTTTATTGGATGAGAGGGTAGACAATTTTGAGAAATGTTTTCTAAAAGGTTATGATGAACTAAAAGATGAGTTGCAACCTAACAGCCTCTTAGTAGAGATGAGCTTACAGACTCATTTGTTTGACTTGTGTGAGACAGTATCTCACTAAGTGACCCAGGCTGGCCTCAAACTTAAGATCCTCTTGCCTCAGCCTCCCAAATGTTGGAATTACAGGAATGTTTCAGCATACCCAACCTTGCCACTTTTCTTAAGCTATCAGGAAATCTAGCATCTCTAAGGCCTCATTTCTAAATGGCAGCAGCTGACTGGAGCTGAGTAGTAACTGTCGTCTTTCAGAGGGGCATCTCCTGTGCACTTGGCCACTGTGCCTTGGCTAAGATCCCTCATTTATGTTGCCTACCAGGCCCTGGAGGCACTTGAGTTCACCACTTTTGCATTAAATTCTCACTAACTAGAAAACTTGCTTATCCAAAATGTACCTTGTCTTGGGTTTACTAGAATACACACTTAAAACCATCATTTCTTAGGCATTCTGGTAAGATTGGTTTTAAATAATGGTAAATGTGAATTTTGGTTTTGCCATATTTGTAAAAATGGGCTTCATAAGAAACAGCATGGTATAACAACCCTCAACCATGGAATAATGTACAAATCCAGTTAAGAAATCACTGGTTATAGCTAGCCATGGTTGCACACTTTTGTAATCCCAGCTACTCAGGAAGTAGAGATAAGGATTATCGAGACCAGACTGAACAAAAGTTAGTGAGACCCCCATCTCAACAAATAAACCTGGCATAGTGTACACTGGAGACATAGCTAGGAGGAGGGTCTTGGCCCTAGACCAGCTCCATGCAAAGCACACAACCCTTCCTGAAAAATAACTAAAGCAAAAATGGACTGGAGGCATAGCTCAAGTTTTAGAATACCAGTCTAGCCAGCTCAAGATGCTGAGTTCAAACTCCAGTATTACCAAAAAAGAAAAATCACCAGTGTTTCTACTACACCATCCTGGCAATGCTGCCCAATAGATTTGTTGAGGAAGAGCAGTTATTTCTAGACTAAAGATTTTGATTTAAAAATGTACATCTGTCTGGCTGCATACTGTCAACTTGCATTTTAATTTAAATTTTCCCTCTTCTGGTGGGTTTCAAGATGACAATTGCAACACGACAAGAAGTCCTTGGCCTGTATCGTACCATATTCAGACTTGCAAGAAAATGGCAGGCAGCATCAGGGCAGATGGAAGACACCATCAAAGAAAAACAGTACATACTAAATGAAGCCAGAACATTGTTCCAGAAAAACAAAAATGTAAGTAGGCAAAGAAAGGGGAGTAGTTTCTTGTGATGTTTGTTCCTTTCGCTTCTGTCCTAAATGGTGGAAACTGAGCCTTGCAAGTCAGAGAAACAGAGCATGAGGCAGGAAGGGGCCAGCACACAGTCTGGCCAGCTTGCCCAACCACTAGAAAGCGAGCCCAGCCCATGTTTCTCTCTTCTCTTGTTCCAGGTTTCGGTCTAGCCAGTAAGTGGCTCAGCATCCTCAGAAGACCCTAAGAGCCAGATAGCATAACCCGCGCCAGTGAGAGTTTTCAGAGGAAGAACTGTTCCTCACATACTGTATTAGTTGCCGGCCACTCCCACAGGGGAGGTGCACAGTGAAATGGTTTCTCAATTCATAAACTAGTCAAAGGCTCCAAACATAAGCCCATTCAGATAGAAGAGAATAGGATTAAGACACAGGGATCCCTTCATAACTTAGCTTTGAACTCAAGCCTCCTTGGCTAGCAGAGTGAGGTTGCCCTTTGGGACCACAGAGTTGTGTAAAATATTGCCTCCATGTTTTGTTCCATGGAACAAAACACCCAGGGAGCTAGATTTGACCCATCTCAACAAACCATAAAGCATTCACTGTAAGCCCCTTAGGAAGACTGCCTGGCACTAAATATGGAAGGAGACGTTCAGTGCCTAACTTCTCTTCAACCCCTTCTCATTCATCTCATGGATTCAGTGCTATCACTGTTTCCCTTGTGAAACTTCCAATCTACTTTCACTATTTCTCCTGTCCCAACCTCTGTCTCTTTTTGGCTGTCTTCTCCACATTTCCTCCTGCTAACATATGAGTCCTCTGAAGATCAGCCCTCTCCATGCTGAGGCTACATCTGAATACCCAGCTTTGGCCTCTGACCAACCACTCTGCTTCACCTAATAGTCTAGAGCAAACTTACCTGTCTACAACCTTCCTCCAAGCTTGCCCATTTTTGTGATAGCTCCTGTCACCATTCTGAAATTCTTTGTTCTTATTCCTCATTCAGCAAATATTCAGGTGTTCACCATGTGCCAAATGCTGGACTAAGGCATCAGGGATATAAAAATAAACAAAACCAAGACAGGGTCCCTGAAAGATTTCTAGCGTTAGATGGAAAGAAATATAAAACTGTAATTGAGGCAGTGCCACCCAAGAAACTCTCCTAGACTAAGATACCTTTCCCATCTCTAAATCTCTGAGGCTTCCATTCTTTTTAACACCAACTTGGTAATAAAGTTTCTTTCTATTCTTCTGACCCTTCTCCAGATTTTTTAAACTCTTTCTGTTCTTACCATAGACCATACTTGTCAAACTAGAGTTCTTATATCCTCATGAGGTCATTAAACTGTCCTCTGAAGGATAGAAATAAAATATTACAGCTACTATTTGTTTATTTTTTATTTCATTCTTTAAAAATATTTATTTTGGGCTGGGCATGGTGGCACACAGCTGTAATCTCAGCTACTCAGGAGGTGGAAATAGGAGAATCATCAGGCCAGTCTAGGCAAATGCTAGCGAGACCCTATCTCAAAAACAAGCCAGGCATGGCAGTGCATTCTTGCAGTCCTAGTTCCTTGGAAGGAGGAGGTTGGAACATCCTAGTCCTGTGTTGATCTAGGCAAAAGTGTGAAATCCTATCTGAAAAACAAAACAAAAATACTGGGGGCATGATTCATGAGGTAGATCTTTTGTGTAGCAATGGCAAGGCCCTGAGTTGAAATCCCAGTACTGCAAAATAAATAATAAAGTCTATTTTGTATGTATTTTAGCCTTTTTCCCTTTTTTTTTTTGTTTTTCTTTTTTGGCAGTGCTGGAATTTTAGTTCAAAGCCTTGCACCACTCCAGCCCTTTTTGCCTTTATTTTTCAAACAAGGCCTCATATTTATGCCTAAGCAAATCTGGGCCATGATGCTCCTATTTATGTTTCCCACATGGCTGGGGTGGCAGCCATGCTCCCAGCTTTTATTGGTTGAGATGTGTTCTCATGAACTTTTTGCTTGGGCTGGCCTCAAATCTTCCTGATCTCTCCCTTCTGAGTAGCTAGGATTACAGGTGTGAGGCATTGTGCTGGCCTATTTTTTTTGTGTGTATGTGTGTATAATGAACATGTATACACGTATTCAGATAGTCCCTCACTTATGGTGCTTTGACTCACAATATTTTGACTTTACGATGATGCAATAGTGATAAGCAGTCAGTAGAAACTATGAATTTTGAGGATTTCAAACTTTATATTATAAAACAGGTTTTATATTAGATGATTTTGGCCAACCATAGGCTAATGCATGTGTTTTGAGTAGGACTAGACTAAGCTATGATGTTTGATAGGGTAGGTGTATAGTATTTAATGCATTTTCAGCTTATAGTGGGTTTACTGGGGCATAATCCTATCATAAGTGTCCGTAATGTATCTGTAATTCATAAATTAATACATTGACAAACTCTTCCTGGTGCTGGGCACATTATAGTGTGCCCAATAAACATTTCTGGTTCACTTGCCTGAAAAATAGTTCTAGACTTGTTTTCCAGTTACTTTGGAAATCCTTTTCTGCCTTTACTTAGATGGTCAAGGCATGAGCCAAAGAGAGGTATTTGTGCCACTGATGGTACATGTGATTATTTGGGAGTGGGGAGAGGACACTGGTTTCTAATTTTAAGATATGTACTCATTTTCACATGTATTAGAAAATAAATTATTAGACCAGAACTTCATAATTACTATTCCTTAGGAAAGAATCCACTTAAATAAAACTTTTAATACTGGTGTAGGTAGTGTGGATATCACAAAATCATGCAGGTAGCCCATGAATAGCTGAATTTGGAGTACTCTAGCCCAAGCTTGTTCACATGGATAGCTAGAGTCCCAGAAGCCCTAACCCCCCCACCAGCCATATTTTTGTTAGGGGCTTTTCTTTTCTCCCCAGTCACTCATGTAGACAAGTGGTTTCTTAGATCGTCAAGTGCACTAAGAGTTTAATAATCCAAACGTATCTCATTAATTGCTCTGAATCACAGTGGGAAAATGGGAGCATGAAAATCTATTCCCAATGTGAGCAGCACAGCAATTGCTTTCGAGAAGCTCAGAGGTCAGAAAGTGGAGCCTCTGCCCCATGGGACTCAGATGCACAGAACTCTGTGTTGCAGAGAACTCTCTGCTGGCTGTTCCTGGAATGAGAGGCACTGTAGGACTGGAACTCCCTTGGGATTTCCAAGTCACACAGGCCCAGACTTCATGGGTGTCATCTAAGGCTGATGCAATCCTAACTTTATTTTGAGGCCCTCTTGCAAACTTATAGGAGAGCTACATGTTGGTTCATTTTCCATTCTCAGAATGAAAGCTTCTCCCCTTCTACTTGGCTTTCTGTTTTTCAGAATAAACTTTTCATTCCTTTACCTGAAAGTAAGACTGCCAAATTTTGAATGTGAAAAGGTCTTTGTTCCCCTTAGTTGCAAGAGTAAGGCAATTTACAATTTATAAAATAAGAGGTAGATCATTCTCCAGTCTTACTCAGGGGGTTTCTGAACACTTGCTGAAACAATTGGGTTACTTTAAAGTGATTCAACATTGGGAGGTTGTGAAGAAGCACTCTCATCCAGTGTTGGTAGGAATATAAATTTATAGATTGTTGGTGGAAATTTAAATTGGTACAAACTCTAGAAAGTAACTTGGGAATTAAAAATGTATAAACATAGAGTCTTTGTCCTAGCACTTCTAAGAGTTCATCTTTTAGATATATTTGCATGTGAGCCAAAAAAATTTTCAAAGGGATCTTTCACAGAATTGTTTATAATGGCAAAAGATTGGAAATAACCTAAATGTCCCATCAGTAAGAGATTGGTTAAATTATAATAAAGGTTTATGCTAGAATTTTGTATAGCTTTTTAAGAAAGGAATAGGGCAGCTAGATGTGTGAATATAGAAAGGGCCTCAAGTTATGTGAGTGAAAAAGTGAAGTACAGAACAAAGTGAGGTATTGTTTTAGAAAAAAGGTGTTTATAGCATAGAATAACTGGTGGAGTGGCTCAAGTGTAAGAGAAGCTGCCTAGCAACTAATGTGAAACCCTGACTTCAAACCCAAGTGCCACCAAATAAATAAATAAGTAAATGCATAGAATATGCTTGGAAGAAGGCACCTGCACACCCATGTTTATTGCAGCACTATAGCCAAGCTATGGAAACAGCCAAGATGCCCCACTACCAACGAACGGATTAAGAAAATAAGGTATTTATACAAAATGGAATTTTACTCAGCCACAAAGAAGAATGAAATTTTGTCATTCACAAGTAAATGGATGGAACTGGAGAACATCATCTTAAGCAAAGTTAGCCAGGCTCAGAAGGCCAAAAATCATATGTTCTCCCTCATATGTGGATTATAGACCTAAAACAAATGCAGTAATATTGTTAGATGTGGGTCATACACTAAAGGGAGAGAGAACACATACAGGAGGAATAGGGAAAGGGAAAGAAACCTAAAACTTGAAAGTGGTTGATGTGTCCACGGTAGAGGAGTGAATAAAGTAATCTTAAACTGGCAGAGGCCACTATGGGAAGGTGACCGGGAAGTAGTGAAGAAGTCTGGTAAAGATGAATCATTTCAGGTTGTAATACACATGTGCATGGAAGCAATCCTAGGAATCTTTCTGTACAGCTATCTTTATCTCAAACTAGCAAAAATGCTATGTCTTATTATCTCTTATGTTTTCTCTTCAACAAAATTGGCGAAGAGGACAGAGCAGGTTCTGCCTGGAAGTGGGGGAGAGGAGAGGGGGCTCAGGGGGCAGGGAGGAGAGGTGGCCCAAACAATGTATACACATATGAATAAATGTATAAACAATTAAAAAATAAAAGAATATGCTTGGAAGGACCATAAACTGCTGATAAATTATCTCTGAGAAGGGGACTGGGAATATAAGTATAGGAGGGAGACTTATTTTTTTATTGTGACCCTTTGTATTATTTGAATTACTTTTACCATATGCATGTATTACCTATTTCAACTAGGGCTGGTGGAGTGGTTAAAGTGATAGAGCACCTGCCTAGCAGGCATGAGGCCCTAAATTCAAACCTCAGTACTGCCAAAAAAATTTGATCTAGAACTGGGTGTAGTGGCTCATACCTATAATCCTAACAACTCAGGGTGTTATGGGGGAGATCAGGAGGATGGCAATTCAAGGCCAGCCCTGGCCAAAAAGTTCGTGAGACACTATCTCAACTAATAGCCAGGCATGGTGGTATATCCCTGTCATTCCAGCTAGGTGGGAAGCACAAATAGGAGGATTGCAATCCAGGCCTGCCCAGGCATAAACATGAGATCCTATTTGAAAAATAACTAAAGCAAAACAGGTCATGGGTGTTGCTCAATTAGTAGAGGACCTATATAGCAAATGGTAGGACCTGAGTTCAAACATTAGTATCACCAAAAAAAAAAAAATTTATGGTAAGTTTTAATATTCAGTTGCTTTGGATTTTTCAAATTAGCAATATTTAATTTACTGGCTAATCAGCCAGAAAAGTTTAGGAAGATATATAGATATTTAACTATACTTTATGTGCCATTAGAAAGATGCTAAAAACCTCACTTATTTTTCCTTTTCAATAGCTCACAGACATAGACCTTATTAAACAGTGTATAGATGAATGCACAGCCAGGATTGAAATTGGACTGCATTATCAGATTCCTTACCCAAGACCGGTAAGTGAGACTCCAGTTAAGAGGTGGTAGGTACTTATCCATGTCAACCCAGTTGTTTCCAAGAATGATAGCAAGAGGGCTAGTGCTTGCTGAGAAGCCTGGAGCTACTGTAGAAGGCTTGTTGGAAATAAGTTATCCTTGAATGCCACCACCTATCACAACAAATTATCAGTGAATGACTTATTTCTCCTTGTACAGCTTCCACTCATGTAGAAGGGAAAACAAGCTCACATTTATACAGCTTTCTCTTTTGACCTTCACCTTTTATATGGAAGTGCTTTTATTTTCCTTATTATAAAAAGTAGGTCTGTTGTTATGAAAAGAATAAAGTTCAGGGCTGGTGGAGTGGCTCAAGTGGTAGAGTGCCTGCCTAGCAAGTGTGAGGCCCTGAGTTCGAGCCCCAGTACTGCCAAAAAAAAAAAAAAGAAAGAAAGAAAGAATATAGTTCAAACATTAAAGAAATTAAGTAGAAGGTAAAAGTTATTAAAAATTCTTACCTGTGGAAGTGACCACTGTAACTATTATATTGAAACAGATGAAATTACTAATATTCAGCTCTTTGACCCAGAAAAGCAATAATTTGATATTGTATCGGCTCAACCTAATCATTTAGTACTATGTTCTTTTCTTCTATACCCATATATTATATATTCTCTGTAGACATGGGATTATAGGCATATTATTTTATTGCCTACTTACTTTACCTCATCTTTGTATATAGTTCTACCTCAGTCTTAAATGATTGCATTATATGCTATTATAGAATGTATCATTGTATTATTGGTCAAGTTTCTTCATAGAAACAGAACTATAAGATGTATATCTAAATATATATAAAAGGAAATGTTTTTCTTTAATTGAAGGGTGCTGATGGCTCATGCCTGTAATCCTAGCTACTTGAGAGGCTGAGATTGGGAAGATTACAGTTTGAGGCCAGCCTGGGCAAATAGTTTGGGAGACTCAATCTCCAAAATAACAAGAGCAAAATGGACTAGAAGTGTGGCTCAAGCAGTAGAGCACCTGCTTTGCAAGTATGAGGCCCTGAGTTCTAATCCCAGTATCACAAAAAATGATTATGAGGAATTGGCTCATGCAGTTATGGAGGTTAAGAAGTAGACATCCAGGAGAAAGCCAGTGGTATAATTCAATCTTAAGTCTGAAGGCATAAGAACCAAGGGGACTCATGGTAGAAATCTAAGGGCAGGGGAAGATGAGATGTCCTAGCTCAAACAAGGAGGGCAGGAGACAAAAGGGTTGAATTCCTCCTTTATTTACCCTTTTATTCTACTTAGGCCCTCAATAGATTGGAGGATGCCCATCCACATTGAGGAGGGCAATCTACTTTAAAGTCCACTAATTCAAACACTAATCTTATCTAGAAATGTCCTCTCAGATACACCCAGAAGTAGTGTTCATTCTGCACCATTCCGATTGATACATAAAATTTTAAGCATCACTCCCATAATGTAATGAGCTTTCTATTTTAGTAGTCATTTAAGTTGGTCCCAGTTTTCCATTATGCACTGAATATCTTTGTACAGACACGTTTTTTCCTTTCCCTTCTTTCGACTCTCATCTTGCTATGTGATCTGTGGTCATTAATCTCTTCTATTCAGGTAATGCAGCAAAGACAATCACAAGTTCTGAAATCAGACAGATTTGGGATTCAAATCCTGGTTCCAACACTTAATGTATAATCTTGAGCAAGTTAGTATTTAACTTCTCTGAGCCTCCATTTTCCCATTTATAAATATTGGAATGATGACTCATTATGAGGTTATTATAAATATCAATGAATGCAAAGATTGCAAAGGTCAATGAATCAGTGGTAGATCTAGCACATAGTAGGTAGTAAGTTCTCAATAATATAAGCTACAGCAGTGATTATGAGTATGTTTCTTAATATTACCATTATCCTTATTCAGATTCACCTACCTCCAATGAGCCTCACCCCATTACGAGGCCGAGGACTTCAAATCCAGGAGAAACTGAGGAAACATTCCAAGCCAGTATATCTCAAATCCCATGATGAAGTTTTCTAACCCAGAAGAAAGTTTATTTCTGAGAATGATGAGCCAATTTGGTCTTGAATGTAGACCAGACAACAGGACCTTTTTCCTTGATTAGGAGCAAAAATTGAAATAGTCTTTTTCAAAGTTCCAAATTAATCCTTACCTATGATGTGTGCCTATACACCCTTAGGGTTTCTCAGAGTCTTCCTGCCTGAGTGGATGAAATTAACCCTAGAGGTGATGACTCTTACATCCTGACTGAAGTCACCTTTGGAAACAAGAGTAAGGCCTGTGAGAGGAAGGCTGAAGTGCTTCAAGCTTTTCATGAGAATGCCATTCACCACACAATCAGCTGGATGTAAGAAAGTGAGCCATGTGCTGGAAGTTCGTTTGGCCATTCTAAACTATGTATTGCCCTCAGAATATTTTTTAGGTTCTTTTGAAAATTACAGATTTGCTTAAAGTGAGGTTTCGTGTGCCTGGTGTTTGTATGTGTATGTGTGTGTGTGTGTGTGTGGTCTTTTGACCTTCTAATTTCCAGACGAACTCCCCTTAGAAAGTGCATCTGTGCACTGATCATGGTTTTTCATGAAAATTTTGACACACATCCCCTCCCCCCATACACAAAAGTACATGCCCTAGTTAAGTGCATGTATGTTTACTTTATCTTAAAGCCTGTGATTACATAAGATGCACTTAGGATCTGAAAAGCTTCCTTGAAACTCATACTGCATTAATTGTATTTTACTTTATATAATTGAAAAATACAGGGTCTGAGCTGACTTTCAAAATAGAAATGGGACAAATACAGATAAAAACACAAAGGCTTTGTACCCCTGCATGTATGGAATTAGATGAGAGTTCATGACAATTCATTTGTACTTTAGTGTCATTCTCTCTTACCTCCACAGAGAGTGGGCATCACCAATAAAGATAAATGTCTACCAATTTTGGTCTCTCTGCATCATTTCCAAAAGTGGCTTGTGAAGCCACAGGTGGAACCTGCCTCCTAGTAGCAGAAGCTCAGGGTAAGTATTACAGGGTTTGTCAATGACATAGAGAACAAATAATACTGTATCAGAAGAGTAATAACTTGAATATTTAATGCAAATACAACTACAGGCTTTTTGGTGGAGGAGACAGAGAAATGCAAATGTGTTGGCAGGTATGTTGGCCATTCCATAAACATTTGGTGAGTACGTATCCCAGCCTAGCTTGAATTGGAAGACAGGAATCTGCCATTCTTTAGTCACTGTTCTTCCAGCAGATCTCAATATGGAAGCATCTTCCTGCCTAGAGGCAGGTCTAAAGTTAAGTATTTCCCATGCAATTTAGGATGTGAACCCAAGCCAGCTTCTTCATGTGATGGTCAGCCAATGAGACAGTGCTCTGTTCCTGCATGGGAAGAAAAGCTGGCTATGCTGGACCAAGTGAGACAAGGCTTACTTTCTCCATCACCATCCATTTCTAAGTGACCCAAGGTGATTTTGACTATATGCAATTTTTGCCTTATTTTACTGACTTTCAGAACCACCCTTCCCACTCAGCCTTCCCCACAATGGAAGACCATCTGATTGCTACCCAAACTTTGAGGATCTTCTACATTCCAGGAATTTTAACTAAATGTGAATTTTATGTCTCACCACCTTAGCAATGATGCATAATTGCCAGTTTACTGTCAAACTTTCCACATAACCTATGGTTTTTTGTTGTTGTTTTGTTTTTTGGGGTTTTTCTGAGATAAGGTTTCACTGTGCAGCCCAGACTGGCCTAAAACTCGTGATCCTCCTGCCCCAGCATTCCAAGTGCTGAAATTACAGGTATGTATCACTACACCTGGCTTATTTTTTTTAAATAACATTTTCCCCCATTTTCTCTTCAGTCTTAAAAAGACTGAGCCTACCTTCCCTGCAGTCCTCCTTCAATGTAATTTTCTTCCATCACCAAGGACTGAATATAACTATTCAACAACTAGATTTTTTAAAGTAAGAACTTGCTTGGTGACCAAGTTTGCTTAATATCATCTGTTGAGCTATTTATAGGCAGGGCCTGCTGTTTCTTGCCAGGCTGATCTCGGCTGTCTCTGCCCCAGGATTCCAGCCACTAAGTCATGATTTCTGGAAAGCATATTGCTCTTTCCCAGGAGGAGACATTTTCACATTGGCCCCAATGGAAAGTGACCTTACATTTACGGCAATCTTTATTTTTAAAGTGGAGGAAATGTTTTAAATTACAAAAATGTAACCCATCACAGAATGTTTTTTGTTCCTTGACCTCTGAAGAACGACAGTCCTTGCCTCCCTCAGCGTTTTGTTGCTGAAGCTGGCGTTAGATAACTGCAATTAAAATTCAATTGTTCTCTTAGCTATCTTCTCATTGCCAGCTCCTTTGCAGCCACACTGTAGCTTATCTACCCATCCAAGAGTCAGGGATTTGGGATCCTGACGATCTTTCCATCTCACATGACTAACCATCTTATTTGATGATACAACAGTCTCAGTTTGTTCATTCTGATTCCCCACACACAAAGGAAAAGGTTGTTTCTGTCTTGATATCTATTAAGCTGCCTTCTTTGAGTTGGAGACTAGCTCCTCGTTGTCTCTTGCTCTGTGACAAGATTTGGAGAACTTCCTTTGCACATAAGGGGTCACTTGGATGGTTCGCTTATCTCAGAATTCAGAGTCCTCAATCAGAATTTGATCAGCACCACAAAGAAATTGAAACCAAAGTTTTCTGGAATATGTTTATTTGGTTATCCGAAGCTTTAGGAAAAAATCAAAGGTCCTGAGTTAGGACATTTGTTCTAATGAAGAAGCAGAGAAGCCAGACACATTAAGACTCAGGCAGTCTTATGTGACCAGTGGAACACCCTGAGAGAAGCCTCTTGGAGCCAAAGAATACATCAAAAATTTGATTTTTATCTCTCAGTAACCCTCTCCAGCTGGCCCTGGGGAAAAACAAGTGATTGAAATTTCTTGGGCATAGTAGTTGGAACTACACGTCTTTTCCAGGAATCTATAGTAGAACATAGCCAAGTCTATGGCCATGAAGGCAGCACGCAGCAGTGAAAAATGCATGCATTCAAGAGCCAGAAAACCTCCACCTGGCTCTGCAGTGGGAAAGAACTGGGTGATGTTAGGCCAGTTACTTATTTTCCCTGAATTCCAAAGGAAGAGACGATCATTTCCAGTACACAGGACCAAGTGAGATATCAAAAAGGCTTGAATACAAATTCTGGCACACAATAGGCATGCAACATAATCTGGTTCTCTCATCTCCTTAAGTTTTAGCTCTTCTATGTAAGCTAATACAGAAGCAATTGGGGCTGGGCTGGAGATGTATCTCAGTGATAGCATGGTTGCCTAAAATGCCCTGGCACCAAGAAGCAATTGGGTCCCAGTTCTGTCACTGACTAACTTGGAACTTTGCATTTGTAAAATGGAGATTTTTGTGAGACATGCATTTTAAATATGTCAAGAACTTTAGCAAAAGTATCTCAAGCCCCTTTCAACTTAGGAGGAAACTTGATGGTACCCTGTGAATGTGAGGCAGGCCAGGTCATAGAAAAACTGAGATTCTTATGACTTAATATTATAGTTTAGATTGAACATATTTCTCTCTCTCTGAAAAAAAGAATTTTTTTTGGTACTGGGGTTTGAACTCTGGCCTCCTGCTTGCTAGGCATGTGCTCTACCACTTGAGCCATTCCCCGAGCCATGTTTTGTGTAGGGCTTTTTGTTTTTTATTTTTGCAGTACTGGGGTTTGAACTTAGGGCCCACCCCATGAGCCAGTGATTTTGTGATGAGTTTTATTCTTTTTTTTTAGGTGGTACTGGGGTTTGAGCCCAGGACCTCAAACTTGCTAGGCAGGCACTCTACCACTTGAGCCACTCCACCAACCCCATGTGAGGAGTTTTTCTGAGACAGGGTCTTGCAAACTATTTGCCCAGGCTGGCTCCTAACTGCAATCCTCCTGATCTCTGCCTCCTGAGTAGCTAGGATTACAGGTGTGAACCACCTGGCACATGGCACGGGGCTCTCAATTACAAAAAAGTTTTTAATAGCTGCCAAGACTCCTTTCAGTTGCAAGTAGGCACAGATTGTTCACATCTTAGCTTGAACCACCACCTTAGCCCACCACCACCCTAGCCCATGGACCCCCAAACCCCTTCCCACTCATCAATTATTGGTGATCAAGAACTGCTCAGGTTTTACTCCTCCTTACTGCTTCCACCTCAAATCTGGCCCACCATGGCCTTTTGTAACTCCTCTCCCCAACCTTTAATAAACTTTTTATTATCACCCTCACAATGTCTACAGATCTTGCCCAGATGCATCCACGTTGGATACAAGAATCTAAAGTTTCTTTTTATCAACATCTACAACAGATAGAGGGAAAAAGTTATTGAAATTCAGTGACAGTTTCAGTAAAAAATTAGGTAAAAATATAACCACAAGGGATCTTAAGCCTAAAAGTGTAGGTTGAACACTTCCTGTGTTCAGATTCTACTTTAGTAGCTATCTGATTTGGAAGATGTTACCTTCTTTGTATCTGCAACCATAAAATGAGGATAATAACAATAACCTACTTTTTATAGAGTTGTGAAATATCTGTGTTATCACCATCCTACTATGTGACTCAAGAAAAGAAGACTAGGTCATAGTAGAGAATGAAATGCCATTTACTTTCTATTTTGAGACAAATGCCATCAGTTATCCAGTTGGCACAATGAAGCCACCCCTCGGTTTATCCAGTGCTTCTGGGGCATGTTTGTTGGGAGCTCAATGGAGAGGACGTAGTTGGTAGAGTGGCCAGTAGTGGAGAGAGTACCTCTCCGGGCACTTGTTTTGTAGACTGGACACACATAAATGTTCTGATGCAGAAATGTTGCACTCTTTCCAGGTTTCAACCAAATGATGGGTAAGGGGTCATAGAGGATTTTGGGGAGAGATTCTCCAATCTGCATAACTCTCCTGTCCCAGCGGGCACCTTCTAGGAAGAGACCTTTTATATAGGCCCCATCTTCTGGGTTACTCTCTATGGCTGTTTCTTGTGTGGTTACCTGGAAGAGTAGAAAGCTGTGAGTTCCGTAACCTGCCATTTACCTACACGAGGCAGCAATAAACAGCAACCTGGCTGCAATGGGCTTCAGTGACAATACTCCTTCTTGCCATATATTTTCCAGGTCTGGTTCTTCCCTTACATATGATGGGCATAAAGAATACACTAAAGTAGGAGCCAGGAGACCATATTAACTATAGCTTAGTGACCCTGGATCTGTGAAGTAAGGGATTAGATTCTGATTCAGACCCAGGCTGTTATAACAGTTCTGGGGATGGAGATAAGGAGAACTTGATTTATAGTTTTTACCAATTTCTGTGGTGTAAAGGCTACCAACTAAGAACCAGCTCACACAATTCTTGAAGATGCAACAACTGGCTCTGGTGAGCTGGTATGAGTGAGCTCCAGTTTACCACTATTTTTGTTTGTTTGTTTGTTGATTTTTGGGGTTTTTTTGTTGTTTTTTTTCTTTCAGTACTGGGGTTTGCACCTTGAGTCACCAGCCCTTTTTTGTGAACTGTTTGCAGGGGCTAGCTTTAAACCAAGATCCTCCTGATCTCTGCCTCCTGAGTAGCTAGGATTATAGGATGAGCCACCGGCACCTGGCTATCACTGTTTAAATCGAGTGCTAATAAACTCAAATTCCTTTAGGCAAGGCAGAAAATGGCCCAGGTATAAAATAATCAGGAGTGGTGGGGATTAGGGTGAATCAGAGCACAAGTGCCATTTAACAGCATGCTAATTTAAATTTTGTTGTTGTTTGTTGTGAATAGAACATTTTTCCCATTCTAAGGACTATCTCATGGTATTAACATTCGTCTAAATGAGTCCACTAGCTGAATAGGCATCATGGAAAGATGCTTTCATGTTATTGGTATGACAGTGGCAGAATTTTCCTCTGGAAAGATTTCTTTTAATATACATGTTAGACAAGCACACAAAGCTTGGAAGTTTTCTGATTATGTTACAAATAGCTTTTGGAGCTATTGTAAGTCATGCTAAATAACTATTTGTAGCTTCTTAGAAGCATTTGGACCTTAACACACCCAAATGTTTGAATCTACAAGGAAATAGGCAATATTGCTTTCTCTGGTTGGTCGCTGGAGCTGACTTATTCCAAAATATCCATACCTCAAACTCAAATCCAACATGGTCAATGGGGATGGTGTATTTCCGGGAATAATTCTGAGAGACACCAGTCAAAAAAGACTGTGTGAAGTAGAATCCAGAGATCCAAAACACTACAGGGGGCCCCTTATCAATCCACTCCTGCAGAGCCATAAAAATCAAAATTCAAAATCAATAACACATCAAAGATAGTTCAAAGGCAAGTAATGTAAATGAGTCACACAAAGGAATTTTTTTTTTTTTTTGGCAGTACTGGGGATTGAACCCAGAGCCTCATGCCTTCTAGGCAAGCACTCTACCACATAAGCCATGTCCCCAGATCTTTAGTCATCATTTTGTTTTTAAGAAAGAGTCTCTACTAACTGCCCTAGCTAGCCTTTAACTCTCAATCCTCTTGTCTCTGCCTCAAGTCGCTGGGATTATAAGCATGGGCCATGATGCCTGGCTTCCACACAAAGAAATACTCCTCATTTTGCTTGAAGCAGGCAGCCCTCTTGGTTTAATTTATATTTTTCCGCTTTTGAAATGAAGGTACAAAGAAATATATTTAAGAAAAGTACATGTGCAGCTGGGCATGTTGGCAGTAATTCCAGCATGATGGCAAATTCAAGGTCACCGTCAGCTACATAGTGAGAACCCGTCTGAGAGAGAGAGACAGAGGGAAAAGGGGGAGGAGAGAAAAAAGGAGGGAGGGGGGTTGGGAGGGAAGAAGGATGGAAGGAAAGAAAAAGGAGAGGAAAGGAAAAGCACAGGTGCAATCTGGTGTTGGGGATACAACAAGGTGGAATTACAGGAGAGCAGAATATGTGTGCTGTCTAAACTGAGCAACAACTAGTCATCTCCAGCAATAGTTGTTATGCATGAATGTAGGCACATTGTTTCAGGTCTTCTATTTTTTGCAGGACAAACAGCTGGAGGTTTTTTTTTTTTTTTCTTTTGCATTGTTGATGATTGAACTCAGGATCTCACACCTCATATTAGGCATGGACACTAATACAAAGCTACACTCCCGAGCCCCTATATCTGGATTTTTATGTGTAAAAATCTAATGTTTACATACTAGCTCAAAAATTTTTAATTACCAGGCAGCCAAATCAAGCATATCCACTGGCCAGATCTGTCCCATGAGCCACCATTGTGTGACATTTATTCTAGTTCCTATTCCTTTCTCCACAGACTACAGTATTTCTAAGGATTTTGAAAAGTCTGTCTCTTGCCCCAACTCTGGAAAGTCAGGTGCCCAATCCAGGTTGCTGCATGGCTGCCTGCCCTTCTCACCCATCTCTAATCTGCTACTTCAGAATGTCTTCTCCACCTAAGTAAGCATGCCGGGTACCCAGTTTCCCCAACTTCCAGGTACCTGGAAGAAGGCCAGGCGGGCCAGTAGGTCAGCCACATAGCCCCCCAGGGGCTTCAGTGATGGGTAGGACTTGGCTGCCCACATAACTGGCACTTTACCCACGAGCACACTATTGAAGACTTCCTCCAGCTCTGAGGACATCAGAACCTGCCCTTTGATGGCTCGGTCGAGATCAATGAGGCTTCTGCGAACCACTTTGGTAAGCCTGCAAGAACAAAGGAGCTGGTTTAGCCTGCCTTTCCAGTGTCCCCATTCTACCCAAGTACACTAACTCCAGGTGTCCTTTGATCTTTCATCCCTTTCAAAGATCAGGCAATGGATAAAAAAATTAATATTATGTCATCACCTAATGATTAATGTATATCTTTCCAGATCTTTCTCCATGTAAACACTCCTTCCTTTCCTTCCTTCCTTCTTTGAGACAGGGTATCACTTTGTAGCCCAGGCTGACATCAAACTAAAGTAACAGGTATTTACCACCATACCCGATCACAAATGTTTTTTCAATGGGCTCATTCTATATTATACCTGACTTAAGTTGTCCTTTTTAATGACTGCAAATTGTTTCATTTTATTTAATTATTCCCTTGTTGTTAAAACATTATTTCTACATTGTTGTCATTGTAAACAACATTGCTAGGAAAATCCCTCCATGTCAATTTTTGTGCAAATTTGTAAATATTTTTTATTCTTCTTTTTTTTCATAACTGAGAATGAGCTCAGGGCTTTGTGCTCACTAGGCAGATGCTCTACCACTTGAACCATTCTGCTATCCCTTTTTGCATTGGTTAGTTTTTCATTTATAAACATTTTTATGTTTAAAACATTTTATGTTTAAACATTTTTATGTATAATCTATTTTTATTAGCATATAATAGTTGTACAGGGGGTTTCATTGTTGCATTGGTTATTCTTGAGAGGGCCTCACTTTATGCCCCAGCCAGCCTGGACCATGATCCTCCTATTTGTGCTTTCCAGCATAGTTGGGATGACAGGCACATGCAACTATGCCCAGCCATTGGTTGAGATGGGGTCTCACAAACTTTTTGCCTGTACTGGCCTGGAACCCAAATCCTCCTGATCTTCACCTCTGAGTACCTAGGATTATAGGCTTGAGCCACCACACCCTGCTTGGAATTATTTTCTTAGGAAAAGAATTTCTGGTCCAGGCAGTGGTGCATGCCTGTAATTCCACCACTTCGGGGAGGGAGGTGCTAAGGTGAGAAGATCATAAGTTCAAGGCTAGCCTGGGCTGCAGGGCAAGACTGTCTCAAAAAATGAAAAGAATTCTGGGTCAAAGGACATATATAGTTTTAAGGCTTTTGATTCATATTTCCAAAGTTGTTCTTTTTATAGAATTGTGAGGAAAAAAAGAGAAAAGGCAACTGCCACCTGAAAGAGCTTCTCATCTTCAAAGATTTGTGGAATCTCAACTTAATGGATTGGGATTAATCAAGAAAATGATCAAATTCAGAAAAGGGAATTTCAGGTTTTGGTATCAGGTACACATGCTTGCTGAGGACTCAAGACAAAGTTATCACCTGAGGTACAACATCACACATTTCTATAACATCTAAAGCCCTACTTAAAATTGTTTTCTGTTCTTGCAACTAGGAACTCTGCTAGTTTTGAGGTTTTAATACCCAAGGAAGGAATATTTGCCCAAGAAAACACAATAATGGCTCCCTGAATTGGAAGCTAAACTGTCACCTAGCCATTTTGGACTTCCTGTACCACTGGATAGCCAGACAGAAACATGTTGTGGGGAGGGACAGTAGAGTATTTCTGAAGGTGGAGATTGCTGTTACTCTGCCCTCTTTTTTTTTTTTTTGGCAGTACTGGGGTTTGAACTCAGGACCTCATGCTTGCTAGGCAGGTGGTCTACCATTTAAGCCACTCCACCACCCCCGCCTTCTTTTGTGATGAGATTGTCAACATAGGATCTCCCAAACTATTTGCCCTAGGCTGGCACTGAACTGCAATTCTCCTAATCTCTGCCTCCTATGTAGCTAGGATTACAGATATAAGCCACCAGTACATGACTGCCCTGCCCTCTTGTATTATAATGGCCAGTGGTAGAACCTAATGAAGGCCCCATAATCATCAAGAAAGAGCTCCCATGGCCTTAGGGGAGTATGGGTAGTAGCAGAGGAAGAAGCCATTGGATTTGGTGTCTGATTAGAGGAACAAGGATGACAGCCCATCATGCCAAGGCATCTGACTTGCAGCAGAGGTGGCCTCATCCTAGGCTCACACCCCATACCTTGTTTGATATCCTATATGACTCTTGACTCTAGAGTAACCCTGAGACTAGCAAAGCTGAGAAATCTCAGATGACATTTCTCCAGTTCTGTAGTCCTCCGGAGCCAAGACTGTCCCTAAAACTGAGCAATGACCCCTGAGGCAAAATGAAAGCCATAGCCACAGTATCTGTAGCAGAACTGGACTTGGAGGCAGAAGTAATGAGTTTTAGCCTATTTGGTTCTGCATCCAACCAGAACCAAATCTGGGCCTCAGTTTCCTCATCTGGCCTAATGGGCTTTGATAACTTTCTGTTTTGACAATTTTGAAATCCAATCATAGTGATTCCACTGGGCTCTATGCTGTACTAATTGGAAAAATGTCAGGGGGACTAGAAGGATAGAGACCCTTGGCCCCATGGCCAGTCAATAACACTATGGAAGAAACAATGGGATGAACTTTTCTCACTGCTTGCTGCATTTACCTTGATTTCATATATGGGCTCTGGAATCAAACAACCTGGGCTCATACTCAGTTCTGCCATTGAATAACAAGCTACTTAATCCTTTTCGATCTCAATCTTTTATTACAATGGCCAGTAGTAAAAGTTAGTAAAGATCCCTGTGGCCACCAAGGAAGGGCTTCAGTCACTTGGGGGAGACTTGAGTAGTACAGGATGGAAGCCATTGGATCTGGTGTCTAATGAACAAACTAAGACTATAGCTCATCATGCCCAGATGAGTTTCCTCATCTATAAAATGGTGGTAAAGGGATTGATAACTGAATATTTCAAAAGATTACATGTAATTTGAGTGAGAACCATGCATAGTACTTGGAACCATATCCACCACTAAGGGGCTCAATAAAAGTAGCTCTCATGACTACTTTTACTATTAGCCTGTGCTTGGTATTGGTTTTAATTTGACTATTGATGTCACATGAATGAATGAGAGAGAATGAATAGAAGGAGTGATTTAACCCTGGGCCAACACTTGCCATGTATGGTTCTATTTATAGCTCTCCCTGTGGGTGAGGCAAACCACTTTGTATGCATAGCAGCCCCTTATCAAGTGTCCCTCTCAGCCACTGCCCACTTAGTCTCCACTCCTCCACTCCTCATGCTCCAACTCTCAGGATCCCAGCAAGAGCATCTGGCCCACCTGTTGAATCTGATGAGTTCCTGCCTTAGGACAGTATTCATTGATTCCTTATAGACCACAGGGTACAACTTCATGACCTTTTCCAAATCAAAATCATTGGGAAGCTTGGAGAGTATGTCCTGGGCCAGCTCCTCCACCACTTCCTTGAAATGAAGATAATAGAGATGTAAATGAGAAATAAGACCTGTACATGGGGGCTTTATCTGGGTAAACTTGAAACATTTGTCTTTTGTTGTTGTTTTTGTTAAGACAGGTTCTCACTGTGTAGTCCAAGCTGGCCTTGAACACATGATCCTGCTGCCTCTGTGGCCCAAGGGCTGGGATTACAGGCCTACACCACCAAGCCCATTAGCATCTGTCTTTTAACATATATTCAGTGGAATCTTTCTGAGAACTCTCCCACAGAAGCCAATTCTGCCTCTGCAGGGAAGGAAGGCACACTCATCACCTCACCATCTTTAGGTAGGACATCACCCCTTTGCAGAGAAAGTGAAAATGCTGAGCAATGACCACTCTGTTCTCACACCTGGGGCAAGAGCTGGAGGGCAGGTGGGACACTCCTGCTCAGCCAGGTAGCCTCAGGGCAGCACCAAACACTTCCGAAAACACTTACTGTCTTCAAGGTCAACCCTGGCTGAGAATCTCCTACAAGTCTCCATCCTTAGGACCAGCTCCTGGTGCAGATGGGATTCATTCTTAATGCCATGACTCTTGGGAAGGCAGTAGGTTATTCCCAGATTGAGCAAGAAAATCCCAGGGCACTGGGTTTAGCCAAGTAAGGAAGGGGATAGCCGCAGAGGATCAAAGAGTAGAGGCTGGAAATGGGACAGCCAGATAGTCCTCCCATCCTGTGGGACTGAGAGGGAAGAATATAGCTTCTTTCTGTCTTCCCACTACAGGAAAATTCCACACCTACAGCAAGACATACCAACAAGGCTCGTTCACCTTCATACCAAGTGCCACTTATGGCACTATGAACCCAATCAGGAAATCCAGTAAACAAGATTCACAAGTGAGAGCAACTGAACATGAGACAGCATGGAGAATGGAGAAGGGAAGGGCAGAGTGGGAGAGAGAAGGTTGTGGAGTCAGGCAGGAGATGTCATTCTGTATCTGGCAGTGCCTTTGATTTTATGAAGGACTTGAAACTGGTCATCTCCTCTCTCAGGGTTCATTTACTTCTTACTTATAGACTGAACAGAGTAGACTGGGTCAGTGCTTCACAAAGTGTGCCCTGGGACCACAAGAAGTACCCAGCATGATTTTAGGTGTTTCTAGGACACAAAATAATGCTGAAAATAATGAGAAAATTGCTCTCTTTTTCAAGTTCTAATTGTCTTTTTTTCATTCCTGTGAAAAATAAAGTCTCAGATCTGTGCTAATTTAACAGTTCTTTAACATCTGCTGATCTTCCTCCTTTTCACAAGAAGTCTACTTGGCTTTGGCCAGCAACATCATCTGAGAAAAATTTAATCCCTCCCTTCCTCCCTCCTTCCCTCTCTTCCTTCTTTTCTCCCTTCCTTCCTTCCATGACTATCATAACTTTATGGAAATGATATTGGGTCTCCACTTACTGCTCTGATGCAGTTTATAAAATAAATGTTTTTAATCAAAATAGCTTTAAATATAATGTCAATGGAATATAGATAATGAGTGAATATGGCAAAAAAAAATCATGAAGTTTATATAGGAATAATTGACATTTTAGAAATTCTGGTTCCCTTTCAGCTCTGTATTTAAGGACTTTCAGTAGTAAGGCCAGAGCACCCAGCCCCTCCCTTAGGAGTCTTATCAGCCCTCTACTTTTCTGCCTTCTTGGTCATCACCCACAATCTTGTGTGCCCACTAGATAGAAAACTGCCTGGGAAATTGAATTATGTATCCTTCCTCAAGCCTGGTTACCTGAGGGGACTTGCCACTCCCTCCTGACTGTCTAGGGAGAGTCAATAGCACCCCTTGAAAGAGTTGGTTGGTTTCCTGGTTGTCCTTGGTGATGTCAGCATTCTCATGGAGGCCAAATACTTCTGGGTGGGCTGTGATGGGGAGGGTCCTGAGATACTCAATGTAGGTCTGGAAAGGAAATCTTCAGTTGACATAAATGCAGGGTCTTTGAAGTCCCACAAATGACTCAGGGCATGGCTAAGCTCAACCCAAACAGGAATCACACTGGGTCAGTAGTATTGCCCATCTCACCACCCAGTCTTGGTGAACACATACCAAGCTCTTTTTCATAGATTTCTGGGGAATGAGTATGAAAGCAAATGGGCTGTCTTTTGTCCCACCCTGGCTTCCTCTCTGCTTCCCCCCAGGTATTCCGGGCTTTAGAGTTACACAGAAATGAGTTTGGATCCTAAGTTAATCATAAACTGTGTAACCTTGAACCAGTCATCTGAAACCCCAGTTTCCTTATCTGTAAATTGGAAAACAAATGAGGTTATAAAGGAATTAAGACTTTGGCACATTATAGGTAGTCAATAAATGTAATTTTCATCCTTCCTTCATATTTCTTGTTTTCATCTTTCCTGTCTTATCCCCCTAACTAGTTTTTCTTTCCCTCCCTTTTATCACCTTTGAACCTTTGTTAACAGTAACAATTACCAGTCTGGTAAGACCAAGACTTCATCTTAACTATCCTCTCTGCTCCACCCTGGTTCCACCAGATTGACCAGCATTCATTAAGCAGTAACAACATCTCCCTCAGAGGGTCTTTGAAATATCAGAAACAGCTTATGGATCTCAGAGAGGTAGGCCTTTCCTTGTCTACCCTGCATCCCCTCGCCATATGGAGACTACTGAGACCCTCTGGAGATAAAGGAAGGCCATCCTTACCTGGTAGGAGCCATGGGGAGGGATGTAGTAAGTCTCTCCAGGAGCAAGGAAGTAATGGTCCTGTTCAATTTCCTTACAGTAGAAAGTGGACAAAAGAGACAACAGGAGACGCCTGTCTTTGTCATCAGTCACTCTGCCTCCATAATTACATTCCCCTGGGGGACAACCAACAGGAAGAAGTTGAGCACAGGGAAAGGTCATCTTGAACTTGGTCATTAACCTGATACAGGGGTTTCTTCCAACCATGAAGACCTATGTGTGGTCCAACACAGGATTGCTGATGCATGTTCACCATGAGATAAGAAGACCTTTTGGGTATTATGGTTACCACAAAAATAATACATGTTCTCCGTATTGGAAATTATAAAAAGAGAGATTAAACTGAAAGAAAAACAGTTCAATCAGTAAGAATTTCACTAAAGATAACTATTAATTTTTAGGCATTTTTCCAGACATTTTTCCCTTAGATATGTATATACAAAAAACATGAAAAGCATTATTTTTTTCTTTCTCCTTTTATTTTATCATTTTTACATTTACTTACATGTGTATACATTGTTTGTGCTACCACCCAATAACATTACTGTATTTGTTTTTGGTCTATAATCCACATGTGAGAGAGAACATATGATTTTTGGCCTTCTTAACCTGGCTAACTTCTCTTAAAATGATGTTCTCAGCCAAGATGTCCCACCACTGACGAATGGATTAAGAAAATGTGGTATCTATACACAATGGAATTTTATGCAACCATGAAGAAGAACGAAATGTTATCATTCACTGGTAAATGGATGGAATTGGAGAACATCATTCTGAGTGAGGTTAGCCTGGCTCAAAAAACCAAAAATCGTATGTTCTCCCTCATATGTGGACATTAGATCAAGGGCAAACACAACAAGGGGATTGGACTATGAGCACATGATAAAAGCGAGAGCACACAAGGGAGGGATGAGGATAGGTAAGACACCTAAAAAACTAGCTAGCATTTGTTGCCCTTAACACAGAGAAACTAAAGCAGATGCCTTAAAGCAACTGAGGCCAATAGGAAAAGGGGAACAGGTACTAGAGAAAAGGTTAGATCAAAAAGAATTAACCTAGAAGGTAACACCCACGCACAGGAAATCAATGTGAGTCAATGCCCTGTATAGCTATCCTTATCTCAACCAGCAAAAACTCTTGTTCCTTCCTATTATTGCTTATACTCTCTCTACAACAAAATTAGAAATAAGGGCAAAATAGTTTCTGCTGGGTATTGGGGGGGAGAGGGAGGGGGCGGAGTGGGTGGTAAGGGAGGGGGTGGGGGCAGTGGGGAGAAATGAACCAATCCTTGTATGCACATATGAATAATAAAAGAAAAATGGAAAAAAAAATGATGTTCTCTAGTTCCATACATTTACTCGCAAATGATAAAATTTCATTCTTCTTCGTGGCTGAGTAGAATTCCATTATGTATAAATACCACATTTTCGTGATCCATTCATCAGTTGTAGGGCATCTTGGCTGTTTCCATAGCTTGGCTACTGTAAATAATGTTACAATAAACATGGGTGTGTGGGTGTTTTTGTGATAACTTGAGTTGAATTCCTTCAGGTATATCCCTAGGAGTGGTATTGCTGGATCATATGGCAGATCTATGTTTAGTTTTTTAAGAAGTCTCCATATTGTTTTCCACAGTGGTTGTAAACTGCTAGTTTACATTTCCACCAGCAGTGTATGAGGATTCCATAAAGCATTTTTTAATTGTGGCTTAGGGCAAGGTCTTTGGAATGAGACAGTGCTGAATTCTATTCCAGTGCTGCAACTTGGTCAAAAAGTAAAGATAATTGCAGTACCCAGTTTACAAGGTTGTGGTTAAAACTAATATGTTTGTAAAGCATTCCGCATGATGTTTTGCCTATAGAAAGCATTTGATTAATTATAGCTATTATATATTTTTTTAAATGAGATTATCTTATACATACTACTACTTTGTAATGCCACTTTGCCACCCCACCCCACTCCCTCAATATTAACATCATTCTGAGATCTGGATCTCTCTCTCACTCTCCCTCCCTCTTTCTCTCTCTCCCTGTCTCTCTCTCTTTGAGACAGGGTCTTACTAGGCAGTCCAGTCTGGCCTTGAACTTATGATCTTCCTGCCTCAGCCCTCTGAATGCTGAGATTACAGGTGTACACTACCACACCTGAGATCTGGACTTATAGACTCAGATTTCTTTAGAGGGGCTATCAAATCCTGCTTACCAACCCAGGATACATTTTTTAGCTGGTCCAAATTGCAGTGTATGGGTGCCACCTGGTATTTGGAAGTTGGGGTTAACACACTGGTTCTGCAAAGAGGAGTCATACATGTATGTGTGTATATATGTACGTACACAAGAGCACCATGAAGGGTGGGCTCATTCCCAAGTTAAACTATTTTAGGAAAAGGCAGGTCTACAGACAGGAAAGGAAGCAAGAATCAAGTTGGGGAGCAAGAGGTCTCAGCTTCTTTTGCTCCTGAGTTGGAGGGCTCTCAATGTCTAGGAGGGAATCCTGAATGGCTAGTTAAGGGAGAAGTAAGGGCTAGAGGAAGCTAATACCAAGTAATAGTAAGAAACTAGAAATAGTTTCACCCTGAGCTAGCTCATCTAGATTTCTGCAGCTCTCTTTGTTGATATCTTCAGGCTTTTAGGGAAGTTCAGCTTGAACATTGCAGCTTGTTTCAGTTGTAAGAAAGTTTATGGTAGCATTTGAGCTACAGTGTTAGAAAGAATGAGCCAGGCACCGGTGGCTCACACCTGTAATTCTAAACTACTCAGGAGGCAGAGATCAGGAGGATAACGGTTCAAAGCCAGCCAGGGAAAATAGTTCGTGAGACCCTATCTTGAAAAAAATCTATCACAAAAAAGGACTGGTGGAGTGGCTCAAGATGTAGGCTCTGAGTTGAGTTCAAACCCCAGTAGCAAAAGAAAGAAAGAATGGTTTCCCCTACCCTGCCCTGAAGTCAGTGTGGCAGTGCTGGAGGGCATAAGGCCTCACCACTTCTTCCTCATCAGCAAACTTTCCTACAGGGGATACCCTTGTAGACTCTGGGTCTAATGATTATGAAGGAAAGTTCATTTCTATGTAGCTGCATACATGTCTGCTTTTTGTAGCAAGAGCACAAGGTCCTGAGGGTGGGGGACAGTCAGGATGTGCCTTAGCTCTGTTCTAAATTCTCCACTGTCCCTGCTAAAGGGCTGGGTACTTGAAAAATCATGGATAACTTTGACCCATCTAACTTCATAACCTCTGTAAATGAGATCTTTTTCTTTGGTGGACAATTCTAATAATCATCCATATCTGGTTATTCTTTCCTTCCAGGCCCATAGGGGGGTTATTCTCCTCTGGGTCCCTTAGAGTTGGGTCGGATCAAGTGACAAGTTCTTGCATATTGAATTGCTATTGTGAACCTTTTAGTACTATCTCTGTTGCAGTGACCACATAAGTTTATATTGGAATGGTGGCAACAAAAGTTGGTGGAGCCTTTACTAACTGTGCACCAATAGATACTTATAATGAGCAGAGACCCCTGTCAATTGGATGTGCAGCATGGACAAATAATGAACCTTTCATATCTTTCAACCTTGAGGTTTGTGGAGCATTGCCTTCACCTAATTAGCCTATCCTGACTGGCACAGTTGGAAAAGTACTATCCTCAAGCTGGTTGGTATGGATGAAGCAGGTTGGTTAATGACCTGTAGGCAATCTTCTACTAAGACCACATTCCAGGACAATTCTGCATTCATTCTGTCATCTAAAGAAGAACCCTGGGATAGACTTCTGCATGGATAGGCCTCTGCACAGAATGATGGGAACATGGTCCACTTCAAAGAATTCTTTCACCAAAGTAAGATCCACTGAACAGTGTGTGTCACTTGGGATTTTGTTTTAAAAACATTGTACTGAGTTAAGGTCAGTGTGGCCTTCCACAACTGAACTTAACTACTCTAATACAGGCTTCTCAACCTTGGGACTGTTAATGTGTTGTACTGGATAGTCCTGTGTTGTAGAATGTTTAGCAGTGTCCTTAGCCTTTCTCTACACATTAGATGCTAAGAGCACTCCCTTTTTTTTTGTGAAGACCTAATACATCTCCAGACACTGCCAAATATCCCATGGGGTCACAACTATCTAGAGTTCAGAACTGCTCTAAAGCTTCAGTCTCTTCAGCTGTAAAATGGGATGACTACCGTGGAGTTCCTAAGATTGCTGTGAAGACGCAGTGCATCCATCATGTGCATGAGGTACATGTTACTACTTGGAGAAGGACCAGACAAACTGCTTAATGTATGGACCTGAAGAGGGAATTTATGTGTGATCTTGAAGATGTCTCATTCTCTTGAGCTGCTTTTTCACCTTTGACTATTGTATTTCATTCATTGAACACATTTCTATTCTACCTCCAATCTCTGGGATTACATTGTGTGTTCCTTTAGAGTAGTAGCAACCAAGTTTTATACATCTGAATTCTTCCATCTTATGTACTAGAATATATACTGGATGACTAGTAAATAATTTCTGATGAGTTGCTTTAATATAAAACAGCTAATACCACTCCTATCTCAGGATTCCTCTACTGGGAATGCTCTCCTTCTCCCCACCCTCACCCACTTCCCATTCCCCTTTCTTTTTCCATATATACAACTCCTACTTATCCTTTGAAACTAATCTCTTAAAACATTAGAAAGTTTTCCATGATCATTTTCCCACTACCCTGAGATTTAATCATTGTGCTGCCTTCCTACTTTACAAATCTTTATCTTACTATATTTATCACTGTATTATCATTTATCAGCTACTTTTTTTTGCTTTTGTAGATTGTGAACCACTTGATCATAGGCAAGATGTCTTAACTTTTCTTGTTTTTATATTTTACAATATCCATAATAATGACCAGCATTAGTAAGAGTTCAATGTTTGTTGAATGAACGAATGAGGGCATGAGTAAATAAGCAAACAGAGACAGAAGTAAAACAGGAAAGTGCAAAATATTACTTCCATAAATACCTGTGAGGTAAGTTAAAGCATCAAATGGCACCTCCTTGTACTCATTGAGAAACATCTGGATCTGCCGCACACTAATCCTTAGATCAGATTCATTAAATTCATAAGGTATATTCCAACCTGCAAGAAGCAGACAAGATAGAGGCTTTGGTGCTGAAAGTTTTTAATTTCCATTCAAGAGACTGAGCTGGTGGGATTAGGCACCATAATCGATCAAGAGCCTCTTTCAGCCCTCTGAATATTCAGCACTGGGCCAACTATTAGCCTTGACATTTATTGCCAGTGTGGGAGCCATTCAGCCTGAGAAAACATCCATTCTAAAATCAATTTCCTTATGGGTCTTTCCATTTGTTAAGGAAGATGTTAACATCCTGGGATTTAAGGAATGAGAATTATTCAGCCTGGCTGGAAGACTGTGGTAATGCACAGAGTTCCAAAAATAACACAGAAGGCATAGCTGAGTACAACAGCAATGACTGAGCAATGGAGTGAACTGAAACTGGCTTTGAGAATGCCCCTCCTTGCAATCATGGAAGAACTGGATGGCCAGCTTTAAAGAAACTGACACTTGCTGGGCACAGTAGCTTGAGCCTGTAATTCTAGCTACTTGGGAAACAGAGACCAGGAGTCTCAAGGTTCAAGGCCAGCTGGTGGGAAAAGATCGTGAGACCCCATTTCAATCAATGGCTGGATGAGATGGCATGCACCTGTCATCCCAGCTATGCAGGAAAGCATAAATAGGAAGATCGTGGTCCAGGCCTTCCGGGGCATAAAGCAAGACCCTACCTCACAAATAAGCAATGCACAAAAGGCTGGTCTGAAGAAGTAACTCAAGTGGTAGAGCACCTGCCCAGCAAGTGCAAGGCCCTGAGTTCAAACCCCAGTACCAAAAACAAAACAAAACAATCCTGCCACTTGCATTTCCAAGGGTTAGTGGTAAATACTGACTGGGCCTCAACTACATAAATGTATGCATTAGGTCTGGTGTAAGACAGAAGGCTGTGGTGAACCCTGCACATAACAGAGAAGTTTAATTTCCTCCTAAACATTCACATTCAAATTTTAAGTATAACAAACTAACAAAGTTCATGTACTGGAAAACGAAGCACAACAGGGCAGTTGTTTCTGAGCAACACTGTGCTGCATGGGTTTCGGGAGGTCTGGTGGACCTCCTCCATCACAGGAGCATGGTGGGAGAATGTGATGCATGAAATGCAGATGCAAAGGGATTGTCCTCTCTCCATCTGCAGTGGAAGGGTCACATGGCCTGTGGAGCCAATAAGGGCTGCCTAGAGTGTAGAGGTAGTAGGAAATGAAGGTGGGTACTCTAAAAGAATGTCTCCTTATCTAACCCAAAAGAAGTACTAAGCATACCCTGCAGTAGGTTTTTCACAGTTGTTGGATAGAATCAAAGTTTGCTGATAGGTAAAAGAAAGGTAGTCCAACCTGAACACCATGATCATAGGGGATTTGTATTTAGCAGTTTGATAATCTATCCTGACAAGATTATTTAGATACTCATAAGTTAGATTACATTAATAAATTTTGTTGAGAGGCACAAATGTCCTAAATGTATTTCTGCCTTTTACTGTTATGCACATGTAAAGAGTGTTACCTAAAATGTTACAAGTCACTTGGTGACAACTCCTTGAAGAATGGTCATTGTGCCTAAGATAAACAAATACATGCCAATAGAAGAGCTTCCAGTCCTTTCGTTATCACATTACTCCAGTAGGTAGTGGGCCTTTGATTTTAGAGAATCACCTCTTTCCCTGACATTGACATTAACCTAGTCGTAGCGTCCCCAGACTTAGCACAAAAAAATACAGGAAACTAAATGAAATCTTAACTTTAGATAAGTAGCATCACATTTAGTATAAGTTATGTCCCAGATTGTGCATGGAACATAAACATTTTACTGGATGTTCCATATTAGTGTACACCATCTGAATACGCACCTGTAAACACACCTGCATCGCTCTGTGATCTTTCCCCCCAGGCAACCTAGATATACTGTCATGGCTCACCTAGGGGTCCAAAGTTCCTCCTCTCTTGAACAATGGCATGGAAGAAGCAAAGGCCAAACAACAGCTTTTGCCACATCACTGGTTTTGCACAGCTTTGGAAGAACAATGAGTCTGAGATGGGGTCATTGAGGTAGGAGCGCAAAAGGTTGGCCCGGAGCCCTTTAGGGGGCTCATTGGTCATTTTGATCCCATTCTGGAGAATGCTGACTGGAAACTTCTCTGATGGATAGCTGGTTAGCCAGAGTCTAGAAGAACAATGAACCCAACTGTTTAGAGCAATGCAATGTTATATTGAAAAACAATAACAAAAATAAGTTACCATTTACTAAGCATGACTAGTATTAACTCATTTTACATAGTTAATATATGTTCTTTTGTTTCCTTTAAGTCTCACTGCCCCCTGTGAGGATGGATTTACAATTCCCCTTTACAGGTGAGGAAGTATGAGGCATGGTGGATTTTCAAGGAGGCACCACTTAGAAGTAGCTGAACCCAGAGGTGAACTTGGGGCTCTGATTCCAAAGTCACTGCTCTTGCCAGGCACCAGTGGCTCACACCTGTAATCCTAGCAACTCAGGAGACAGAGATCCGGAGGATCATGGTTCAAAGCCAGCCTTGGCAAATAGTTCATGAGAACCTATCTTGAAAAAACCCATCACAAAAAAAGGACTGGTGGAGTGGCTCAAGGTGTAGGTCCTGAGTTCAAACCCCAGTATCACCAAAAAAAAAAAAAAAAGTCACTGCTTAATTTAAGCTTCTCATTTGGCCCTGCAGGACTTTCTGAGCATCTAATGTGTGAAGTACTATACCAAGCACCTCAGGAGTGACTGAAGTGAGCAAGTATAATTTCAAGCCTCCAAATAGTCATGGCCTTCTTGCTTGGAGAAGAAATAGGTGCCAGACAAGGGACAAAAACAATGCAAAAACAATGCTAGAGTCCAAGGCATTACAAACTCAGGACCCCAGGGAGGGTAGAAATAGTGAGTGATGTGGGCGCAGTCCATGGGAAGAACAGCTTTAAATGGTTTGGAAGGAACAAGGCAAACATCAGAGAGTGAAAGTGGCAAATTATGGCTAAAGAGCTAAATCCAATCCATCTGTTTTTGTAAAGTTTCATTGGAACATGGCTATGCTCCTTCATTTATGTCTGGCCTATGACTGCTTTCACCATACAACTTCAGAGTTGAATATTTGCAACAGAGACAATATGGCTACAAAGCCTAAATTAGCTGGAGAAAAAGTGAGTTTATGCCTATTAAGTAGAATATGGTATTTAAAATGGACCTTGAGTGGGGCACAATTGTAATCCCAGCTACTCAGGAGGCTGAGGCAGGAGGATTGCAAGTTCAAGGTGTGCCTGGGCAACTTAGAGAGACCCTGTCTCAAAAATTTTTTTTTTTTGCAGTACTGGGGCTTTAACTCAAGGTCTACACCTTGAGCCACTCTGCCAGCCCTTTTTTGTGAAGGAATTTTCAAGATAGGGTCTCACGAACTACTTTGGTTGGTTTCAAACCACGATCCTCCTGATCTCTGCCTCCTGAGTAGCAAGGATTACAGACATGAGCCACTGGCACCTAGATTTCAAAATAAACTTTTTTTAAAAGGGATGAAGATATAGTTCAGAGGTCTACAACTTGCCTAGCATGCACAAAGCCCTGGGCTCAATATCTACTACCACAGAATAAATAAAATAAAATGGGCCTTGAGAATATGGAGAATATCTCTATATCTATCTGTCTATCCATCCATCCATCCACACACATATACAACATTTTGAAAGAAATAAAATTTTGCCAGGCATAGTAGCTCATGCCTATAATCCCAGTTAGTTGGGAGGCAGAGATCAGGAAGATCAAGGTCCAGGTCACTCTGAGGAAAAACATGAGATCCTATGAGAAAGACAACTAAATTAGAAAGGGCTGGGGGCATGGCTCAAGTGGTAAAGTGCCTGCCTAGCAAACACAGGGTCCCAAGTTCAACTCCAGTACCACCAAAAAAAATAAAATTTATAATTTTATACCCATAGGTTAACATTTTGCTTTTTTTTTTTTTTTTGGCAGCACTGGGGTTTAGAACTTAGGGCTTCACACTTGTGAGGCAGGCACTCTACCACTTGAGCCACTCCACTAGCTAGGTTAATATTTTGGCATATTGCATCTAAGCTTTTATCAATTTGTTTTTCCTACCTGAGCTCAAGTTACATACACACTCTGGCATCCTAGTTTTTGTTTGTTTGTTTGCTAGACATTAGACAGATTTCCAATAGGACACAGGCTGAGCAAGCCCAGGGAAGAGGGGCATCTGGCTATGGTCAGGCACAGGGCTGGACCTGGGATAGAGGTCATAAACTGGTGGCCTAAAGCCTGACTGTAGCCTAAAGAAGGGAAATGTGTGTCTCACACCATCTATAGTCACACAATACTGTAGCATACTTTTGAAAGAGTTGTGAACTTTCCAAAATCTTGGGTTTTCTTTAAAAATTCTAGATTCTCACTTTCTCTTTAAAGTCAACAGAAAATCTGATCACAAGCATGCATTCCTGCATGACAACAGCGACTAGTGCTAAGCAATAACTGCCCTCCAAGTTCAATATAGTCCCCACCATTCTCTATTGTGTTTCACACTGAGACCAACTGCCCAGAGGATTGCTGTTGTACTATGGAAAGGGGAACTATTTCTTGCTCTCAGCCCTCTTTGCTCATTTATCTCAGGTGCCCAGCCCCTTACGCACTTAAGCTCATGACTTTTAGGTCATCGTTGTATGGTACTAGCCCATAAATGTCAACAGGAATAATTTTTGCTGCATTAAGTGTCATCTGTGGTCAGTGAAACCACTCGTCATGCCAAACCAATCAACATTCTCAAAACTTCTGTTAGTATTATTAATGGATTGCACTTAAATTCTCTCGTTTGGAAATCTTCCATGAATACAAATTAACTGTGAGCTTAATCTGAGTTTGTAAATAAGCACCAAACACTTTCTTATTTTCAAGCAGACATACCAAAATGAAAGTAAGCAAGCTTTGTTGCCTAGAGCAGTGGCCAGCAAACTCTTCCCATAAGGACATAATAGCAAATCTTTTAGACTCTGTGGGCCTAACTACTGGAACCACAAAAGCAAGTGGCCATGGACAGACAATATATGAAAGCTTTGGGTGTTTTCCAGTATAGCTATTTATGGACACTGAAACTTGAATTTCGTATCATTTTCATTTGTCATGAAATATCATTCTTTAGGTGTTTTTGGCTATTTAAAAATAGATTTCAAGTTATATCAAAAACAGATAGCAGACGATCTTATTCTCTGGCCTAAAATAAGAGAATCCCTAACATCTGGGCTGAAAAGGACTTTAGAGTTCTTTCATAGAATTCCTACTTCTATGAATGTAGTAACTGAAGTTCAACCTTGCTGGGCTTTAAAGTTCACAAAATACAAATAGCTATTTCTAACGCTGATGAAAATTGCATGTAATCCAAGGAATACAGGCTAGAGGAATAATAAATGGTGCCTGGACTACAAGTGGTATTTTTAAAAAGACAAATAATTATTAAAAATCAGTCTTATTGACAGATGCCAATGGCTCACCCTGTAATCCTATTGCAGTTTGGAGCCAGCCTGGGCAAACAGCTCTCCAGACCCTATCTCGAAAAAAAACCCTTCATAAAAACAAGGGCCAGTGGAGGGGCTCAAGGTATAGGGCCTGAGTTCAAACTGCAGTACCGCAAAAAAAGAAAAAAAAAATCAGTCTTATTGACATGTAATCTACCTTCATAGACACATCTGCTATCACTTCCTTAACAACTTTGTACAGCACACACCCCAAGGTCACTAAGCTAACTTCTCAGTATTCTCACTTTGCTTTTAAGAATGCTGTCCCTTCTGACTGGAATGTCATTCCTGGAAAGCTTCTATTCATATTGCAAAACCCCAGGCAATAATTAGTCCTAACTTTTCTGTCCTTGTTCTGTACTCCATGTTTCTTGTTTACATAAATCATGGTCTCAAAATTATTCATCTATGAGCTGTCTTCTACTAGATTCAGAGCTTCATAGGGGCAGGACTGTGTCTTGCCATATTTGCATTCCCAGACACCAACATGACATCTGGAGTTTGAGGCCAGGTCACAGAGACAGACAGCAGTGGGCAGCATATCACCTGAATTTCACGTTGGTGCTCTCAGGAACAATCACCTCCTCACAGATCTTTTCCAATGCAGGCATCCAGCTGGTAGCCAGATGGCAGTTCTGTAGGACCACCCAGGTCCCTTCATTGATGGCAGTGTTGATCATTTTGGCAGCAATAGGGCCTTGGCCTTGGCCAAGGGAGATAGTCTGTGTTTTGGCACCTCCCATGCCAAGGTCATCTGCAAACTTCAGCAGGCCTAAGACCAGGAAGAAAAGGGGCTTTTGAAAAAGAATAGGCAAAAAAGACGATATTAACAGTAACAACACAAAAGGAGAGGTCACATTAAAATTTTGGATTCAGCTGGGCACTGGTGGCTCACACGTGTAATACTAGCTACTCAGGAGGCAGAGATCAGGAGGATCGTGGTTTGAAGCCAGCTTGAGCAAACAGTTTGGGAGACCCTATCTCAAAAACAAAACAACAACAAAAAAACCCTTCACAAAAAGGGCTAATGGAGTGGCTCAAGGTGTGGAGGGGTAAACCCTGAGCCCAAAGCCCACCACCACAAAAAAATTTGGATTCAGAAAGAAACTCATTGGCTTGTGTTAATTACAAAATAAACATCTGAGAAAGCCTTAGATATCTGGTAAGATGGCAAATGAAACTATAATCAACTCCTATTTTGCTCTACTGCACAGACTTTTTTTTTTTTTCTTTTTGAGATAGAGTCTATGCAGCCCAGGCTGACCTGGAACTCATGATCCTCCTCCCTCAGCCTCCCGAGTATTGAGATTATAGATGTATATAGCCACACCCAGCTATAGTGGTTTTGTCTACACCTCCAGCCTTTTCTACTTTAGGTTATTTTTCAGATATGCTCCCTCTTATTGTTATTATCATCATTATTATTATAATCATTATTATTGGTGGGACTGAGGCTTCATGCTTGCAAATCAAGTGTTCTGCCCCTTGAGCCACACCTCCAGTAAGTCTTGCTTTTTGCCCGGGCTGGCCTGGGACCGTGATCCTCCTACCTGTGCCTCCCATATAGCTGGAATCACAGGCATAAGGCACCACTCCCAGCTTGTTTGTTTGTTAAGATGGGGTCTTGCTAACATTTTGCCTGGCTGCACTCAAACCATGAGCCTTCTGATTTCTACCTCCCAGGTAGATGGGATTACAGTCATGAGCCAGTGCACGTGGCCTAGACATTGCTGACATAAAAAAAATTACATAGTGTGAGGATGTAGTTCAGTGCAGAGCACTCCCTGGCACCACAAAATTATATATATATTTTTTTTTTTGGGGGGGGAAGGAATTGCTAGGAAAGGGAAATTGCTAGGTGCCAAAACCAAAAAGACAATTCAAATTCAAAACTGGAGATATGGACAGAACCAAACAACCAGGAACCGAGGCCTTAGGAATTTAGTTTAGTAGGAAATATGGGCATTTTTACATTGCAACTACTAAGTCTCTTTTTCTCACATCTATCTACTCCAGGGGTAGCCAATCTTATTAGACTTTTGAATCCTTCCAGAGATATTTTTTGCATTGAAATAAATACACAAAACTATTAAACCTATGTGAATTGTAGAATACTACATTTGCATATTTCACTCATATTTCCTGTAGATCTTACATCAGTACAGACGGCCTTATTCTTTTACAGTTAGATAATATTTTGCTATTGGAAAATACCATATTTTATTTAACCAGTCTAAAGGATGGGGGTTTTTGTTTGTTTGTTGTTTTTTTAACCTGCACATCCATGTCCATTGAAGCCCTACTCAAAATAGCCAAGTCATGGAAACATCCTAAGTGCCCAAAAATGAATGAACAGACATTTTTAAAAAAGGGTCTCTCTCTCTCTCTCTCTCTTTCACATACATTCTCTCTCTCTCTCACACACACACACACATACACACAAACACACACACCCCAAAGAATTATTCAGACATAAAGAAGAACAAAATCATGTCATTTGCAGGAAAATGAAGAAGAGATTTGGACATATATATATAGACACAGAGGAAAGAGGGCTATCAACAAGCCAGAGAGAGATGCCTCAGATGAGACCAATCCTGTAACATCTTGATCTCAGGCTTCTAGCTTCCAGAACTATGGTTTCTAACCATCATCTGTGGTAGTTTGTTATGGCAGCCCTAGCAAACTAGTATGCTCTTTGAAAAGTAAACACATATAAAAAGAAACACATATAAAACCCAATAAAGAAGGAATATAAACTGTAACAAAATTCAGAATACTGTTTAAAAATGCATGAATTTGAAATAAAACTTTTAGAAGTGTAAATCATAACCATTTGAAGACAAAAACTCAAAGCAGTAATGAAAAGTGCATACTAGGTACAACCAAAAGAGATAGTAAGGTCTACAGTCAATGACAGTAAACAGTACCTCTATAAATGCATGGAACTGGATACCATCATCTTAAATGAAGTTAGCCAGGTTCAGAAAGTCAAAAGCCAGATGTTTTCTCTCATATGTAGAATATAGGCCCAATACAAATACAAGCATATTATGTATACAAACAAATATATCCAGCACATGTATCTAAAAGAGGTACTGATAAAAGAGGCCAAGGGAGGAGGAAAAGGAAAGAAAGATAGTGAATAATGATGAAGTACATCATATCTGTGTAGGAACAAACACAAGGAAACACTGAAAACTTCTACACAACACAGAATGGGGGAAAGGGACAAGGAAGTACAGTGGAGGGGGCTTACGTTGACTTAAGTACAATGCAAGTATAGGTATAATACTAAGGCAAAAATCCCACTGCACAATGAACCTAAACAATGAAGGACAAGAATGAAAAACAGGTCACACTAAGGGGATGGCACTAACAAGAAGGAGAAGGTAAAAGAAGGAAATAAAGATGGTGAATATGGGGGATGTGCTTTCTATACAAGAATGAATATAGAATTTTCAAACTTTTGAAATCACCATAAGAAGAAAAGTAAGGTAGAAAGGAGAAAAATGAAGGGGATGTACTAATTCAGGATATAATACATATATACATGGAAATGTCATAATGAAACTCCCTGTAGAGATATCTTAAACAAACAAAAATCCCTTTTTTAAAAAAATGGAGATAGTAAGACCAAGCAGTTCCTGTCTGGGGATTGGTACCAGTGTGTGTGGGGATATAAGGAAGGGTGCAGGAGGATGAATTCGGTGGAAATATTGTGTACTCATATTTGAAAATGGAAAAATGAGACCTTTTGAAACTAATCTAAGAATGAGAAGGGGGGAGACAAAAGAGAATGATTGAGGGGATGAATTTAACAAAGATACATCATAAGTACTTTTGTAAATGTCACAATGAACCCTCAGTACAATAATATGATAATAAAAATTAATTTAAAGAAAAAAAGAGCACCTCTAGCATGCACACTGTGGCTCCCACATACATTATTTGCTGAAAGAGCTAGGGTTTCTTCAAAAATTATTTCCAGAGCCAGGCATGGTGGCACATGCCTATAATCCTAGAATTTAGGAGGCTGAGGCAGGAGGATCATGAGTTCAAGGCCAGCCTGGGCTGTCTCAAAAAAAAAACCTGTTTTCAGGTCTGGAGCAAAGAATGTACAAGAGAAGCCTGAATACATGGTGATTCTGGAAGGTAAGGAAGAGATGTAAAAAGTACACAGGCACACAGGCATGAAGGTGCTTCCCCAGTCTCAGATTGAACACTGCCACTTGTGAAATACCTCGTATGTTATACTCTGCGTATTCACAAGGATACAAAAACATCTTAGTGTTTCACTGTTCACTTTGAAGGTTAATAAGGCATCAACTCAATACTGAGGGCTTGTAAATAAAGGGGAAGTATCAAGCATCTATTCTGCATGTGCTATTTGAACTATATTCAGAGTAAATCAAAGAATTCACAAAGGAAAATTATTCTCTATAGAAAAGTTTCAGCTAATGAATTCAGCAGGAAGGACAGAAATAAAACATCATCATTTTGTAGCCCCTAATGAAACAATGGATGCTGGTAATGATTTTCAAACTCTGCTAAAGACATTAAAGTCAGTGTTTCCCAATATTGACTATACAATAGAATTACTTAAAAAGGTTTATAAAACAGGATTTCACCCTAAAGACTGTAATTTAATTAAGTCCACCGTGGACTAATTTTTCTTAAAGCTCTCTGTGTAACTCCAACATGCAACCAATATTGAGAGTCATCACATTAGGTGAAAAGCTGATGGGAAACTCTGTAAGGGGTGGGTACGGATACTGGCTCATCTGACAATGCCTGATCCCACATATCAATCCTAATCAGAAAAGGGAAGACAACCAGACAGCATGTATCTCCTGATGTGAGACAGTAGGAGGGACACAATACCTAGGAAGTTTCCTGTAAAATCATCCACGCTGGATCTCACCAGGTTTCTGGAGCAGAGAGACAGGAAGGAATAAGCTAAATCCAGCATAAGTTGCAACCAGCGCATCCTCTACCACTGTGGCATCATCCTACCAGATTCACATGTCAATATCAGCACCATCAGATCATATTCACATGTCAATATCAGCACCATCAGATCATATTCAGACCTTTCCCTCATTTCTCTGCTTTACTTTTCCTGGCTTTCTCCTAGTTCTTCTTTTATATATTTGCCACATAAAGAATATAGGGCAAAAAGCAAAGGTGCAAAAGCAAAAGAAAAGGGTCATGTGCTGCTCCTTGACAAGATCATTTGGTGCTTATACGAACCTGGAGCCAGTTCATTTCAGCCTCCTCCTCTGTCTTCCTTCTAGAGACAGGGGTGCTGGCTCTCTCTCTGGTGAGAGTGCATGCCAAACTCCTCCTCAGCTTTTATAGGAGATATCAATCTCCTCACTTGCATTTCTTTTACTCTGTTTTCATTCAGCAACAGAGAAAACTAAAGCATCAAAGTCCTCAACAGAACAGAAAACTATTTTTGTCAATAAGTCATAATCTGTCTATAATCACAAATTATTCTCTGGAAAGATACACAGAGCTAGTAAAAGGGGTTACCTCTGGGTAGATAAGGAGGAAGCAGTACCTTATACTTCATACCAGACTTCCTCAACCTTTGCATGATTGACATTCTAGACCAGGTCATCTTTAGTTGTGAGGAACCTCCCTATGCACTGTGGGGTGTTGAGCGCATCCTTGTATCTAGCAGCAACCACTTGTAACAATAAAGATGTCTTCATGGGATATACCAAATACCCCTCTAGGAAGGCAACATCCCCCCCTTGATGAGCCTTGCTTGATTTAAAAAATAAAAAAAAAGAAAAACAGATGCACTGTTATTCTTCAATAAATCTTTTTTTGTGGTACTGGGGTTTGAACTCAGCCTTGCACTTGCTAGGCAAGAGCTCTACCATTTGAGCCACTCCCCTAGCCCTCAATTTTTTTTTAAATTAAAGAAGAAGTAGAGCAAATGGTTTAAGTCAAAGATGATATAAACTATCAGCTAGCAGGCTGAGTCTAGCCTTGTGTTTAATCTTTTTTAGGGAAAAAAAACTGAGCTGTCAAGATTTAAAAACAGATGATTTCTTCCTTTCTGGTTTATCTTGAAAAATCAGATGATCTGCTGGTGTTAGTTTGACATTCCCAGATGGCACAGTTTGTGGGTTCTGAGTAGTAGCTGTCCTCTTTAGGTGGGAAATGAAGTCTTCACTTGCTTTAGACCCACTTCAGCTTTCAACCTCTTGGCCTTGAACTGGGTGTGACTGTGCACACCTGTAATTCTAGAACTGGGAGGCAGAGGTAGGAGAATAGCAAGTTGGAGGTCACCTGGGCTACAGAGCAAGACCCTGACTCAAAAAACAAAAAAAAGATCAAAATTTCTTGACCTTCAAAGTTAGCTGAGTCTGAGATCCTTGCTATAAAGAACCTGCTACTGTCACCCATTCCAATATTCTGGTCTTTTGATGTTCTTCATAATGTATCTTGTCCTTACCTGCCATTGGGTCTGCGCCTGGAGACAACACAAAAATCAATGGTGCACAACAGCTGGAATCATTGTAGGATCCCTGGAGATCAAAGGTGGGGGCTTCGATGTATACCTTTCCCATGTGTTCAGTTATGAACTCCCGAATAGCTGGGATTATCTTGTCAGGCCGCAAACATCGGAGGATCACCATCCTCTCCAATCCTTCAAGGAACTTCCAGTTTCCAGGGAATGTTTCTTCATGGGGCCAAACTGAATCATAGATCTGCTTCCATTCTTTGGCATTTTGTTCCAAATGTTCCATAAGGCCTTTCAGTTTTGGTAAGGAGGATGCACGAACCACCTCTGCCCAGGCTTTCTCAGACAACCATTCAGGAGCCGGGTTAGGAAAGGGGTTATCCAGGGCAATGCCTCCAGTTAGAAGGAAATACCAAATTTCCTCATTAATTTCCTTTTTCTCTTTCAAGATGCCGATGGTCAGGAGAAGGGAGAAGAGCAACTTGTCCTTCTCAAACAGAGAGCGGCACACATTGCTGTAGATGCTCAGGGTAAAATGGTCAATGATGTACTTGATGCGCACATCCAGCGCTTCGCTCTTTGTGCTGCGGGCCAGGGAATGCACGTAGAGGTTGATGAACCATGTCAGGGAGTACTGGTACATAGGTTCGATATTGGCCAGGTCAGAGATACAGAAGAAGATGGTGGCAGAGTGCACGGCCACTGGCTTGTAGCCCATCCGAGTCTCATCGATCTGCATTTCTGTCATTGAAGCTGTTTCCTGTTTCTCAGAGATTTCTTCTGATAGCACTTTGGAGGAGGATAAAACTTCGATGGCAGTTTCATCCTCAAGGATGTTGCCCTCAGACAGGGAAAGAACCTCCAAAATCTTATCTTCAATTTCCTTTAGCTGCTTCTTGTTCTGGGCACTTTCCACAATCAACTTGTTCTTTTTCTCTTCCAGTTCCGGCTTCTCCTTAGCAGCTACAATGCCAAGGAGTTGATCTTGGAGACCCAAAGGGGTGATCATGAAGTTGAGGAGACAGACTTTCACGGCAACTTCAGGGAGGTAGTGTGGGTTCCTAAAACGTGTGGTAATGTATAACTTAAAATCCCTGGAATATTCGATGATATTCTCACCCAGCCTCATGTACTCAACCCCTTGTTGCTTGAATGTTGCCTTAAGCAAGATGGGTTCAATGAAGGCATCCAGCTCTTCTCCAATGTTTTCCAGTAAGACAGGGGTGCCAAACTGCAGGGCATTTTCCAGCGTCCTCACATAGTTGGTATCAGAGAACTTGATGATGGACAGTTTATTCGCTTTCTCCATGTTCTTGATCCACTTATTGGCCTGCCCCTGAGGGTCAATCATTAGAGGCCAGCGTCTAGAATTGGACACAATGATGCCATTATCAATGGAGAAGGAGTCAATGGGAAGCCCCGCAATCTGCCAGGCACGGATTTTTACAGGATCCCCTAATGTGTTGCTGAGGCTGAAGTCAATGGAGCCAGGGATGACCTTGTCCTTACAGTGTTCCAACCACTCCTTTTGGCATTCAACCCGATAATCCACTGTGAAGGCACCCAGATAAGCCACAGTCCCAGAGGACACCAACACATCCCCTGTCAGATTTGTATATCGGATCCCCAGCTGCCGGGCAGCTTCGGTCCACCTGTCCTTCTCTCCCCCAAGACCACTGATCAGTTTCTCTGCCCTGATCAGTTTTTGGGAGCAGATCTCAATGTTTTCCTCCAACATCTTTTTCTTGTTATTCATCTCTTCAAAATCATCATTTAAGGCCTGGAGTCGGTCTTCCACCAGCTTCAACTCTGCTCGTTTCTGGTTCAGCTTTTGCATCTGTATGTCCAGTTTCCCTTCGGCCTCCTTCAGTCGCTCTCGTTTTGGAGCCACGACCTTGGCCACTCGATCATACACCTCCATGGCTCTCACCCACTTGCACAGACCCTCACAGGCTGAGGACACGTTTTTAATGACAGCTGGCTGGAACTCGGGATGATCGATAAACCTTTCCCGGATCCGCTTCATGATCACTGGGGGAATGTTGTCTTTGTCATATGTCTTAAGACTCTCCAAGAACTTTAGATCTCCAAGAATCTTTCTTGACACTCCCCAAAAATCTTCTATCATCTTGCCTGTTTGGTACAAGAAACAGAGAGAGGCTGTATTAAGACATTTTGGTTGAGATCTAAAATTCTGCCATGGCAGTTTGGATTTTGGGGGAAAAAACCAAGCTTCTTACTGTGGTCTAGGAGGTCTAGCTGATCTCATCCACTTCATCTCTGCTTTGCTCCCTGGGCTTTGGTCCTGAAAGACCTTTCTTGAATCCCTCCATGAATTCCTTCTCTACCAAGAGTCTTTACCTATGCTATAAGCAGCATCTAGCTGACTTCAGACCTTACTTTATTTATTTTTTATTTAATTTATAGACAGGATCTTGCTATATAGCCCAGGTGGGCCTGGAACCTCCAATACTCCTACCTCAACCTCCCCAGTGCTGGGATTACAGGAGTGTCCATTATGCCCAGCTGTCCTTACTTTAAAAGCCACCTCCACTGAGACATTTCCCTAGACTTCTCTTCCAAGGAGGGTGGTCCCTTCTCTTCCCTTTGCCATAATTTTCTTTCATCTTGCCTGATAACAACCCTGTTCCCTTAATAGCATTAATTGTTATCTGTCACTTTTTGTTTACTTTCTATCATCTACATCTCTCCCAAAACTGTAAGCTCCCCCATGATTCTAGAAGCACTGGACAGCTAATCCTTGCTCAGGTCAACTTATTATGCCCCAGCAGTTTCCCTAAAGGATTCTCTTGGAAAGTTCACTCCTTGCTTGGTTATTCCTGTTCATCTTTGCATCTTCTTCATGTGCTTGTTGGTCCGAAACTGCCAGACAAGAGGGAATGCTAAGTGAGGGGAGCCAGGAGTCAGAGGATCCCATGTGAGGGATCAGAGATTTCTAACATTTCAGAAGGAACGAAGGATAGCAGAGCTCTTGCCAAAATAGGAGGACTCAAAAGGGAGACGATCACACTGGAGGTGGTTTCAAAGTCCTTGTTTAGTTCTAAGGCACTGCTCTTAATAAAAGGCACTACATCAAATTACACCTGAACCCTCTTTTTAAAAATTTTTTTCAGTCTTTCTATGTAGCATATGCTGGTTTCAAACATGTATACTTCTGCCTCAGTCTCCTGAGTGCTAGGATTATAGGTATGTACTACCAGGCCTGGCCCTCAAATTCACAGTTTTAATTTTTATTTATTTATTTATTTGTAGTAGTGGGATTTAAACTCAGGACTTTGTGCTTGCTAGGCAGGCGCTGTGCCACTTGGGCCCTGTCTCCAGCCCTTCAGATTCACATTTTAAGGAGAATGAAAAAGCATTTTACCTATGAATGGTTCTAGGCTTAATTGTATAAAGAGTTTTCCTCTGTCCCTCCACTATTCCTTTCTTCCCACTTTTAAGTCTCTGTATCTCGCTGTACCTCTAGTTTCTGTCTCTGCCAGTGTTTTAGTTTTGATGAAACTGAGGCAAGAACTCAGAGCTTTGTGCTCACAAAGCAGGTGTTCTAGCATCTGAGCCACTCCTTTAGTCCATTTTGCTCTGGTTATTTTGGAGATGAGGGTCTCATGAACTATTTGCCCACACTGGCCTTGAACCATGATCCCATGATCTTCCTAATCTCAACCTCCCAAGTAACGAGGATTACAGTTAAGAGCCACCAGCCAGAAAATTTCCAGTTTTTACTTTTCCCCCATCTCAACTCACCTCCCTTTCCTCCATGCGCATGTGTATGTGTGTGTGTGTATCTGTCTTCCTGTCTCTCTTATTTTGGGGATCTCTTTTCTTCCAATTGCTCTCTGTGTCTCTGTGACCCCACATGTTTCTCTATCTTCATTTCTTTCTCAATCTCAGCATTTTTATGTTTTTGTCTCAGTTTCTCTGTTTCCTTGTTTCTCTGTTCCTATGTCTCTCTCCTGCCTATGCAGTTCATTGTGTGTGTGTCTTTCATTCACCTCTTTCTGTTTCCCTACCTCCATCTTTCTCCTTCCTATGTGTGTGTGTGTGTGTGTCTGTCTGTCTGTCTGTCTATATGCAATGTGCCCATCTAGGTGTCTAGGTCTCTGTATTTATGTCTCACTCTGTCTCTTTGTTTCATTCTTTCTTTCTGTGGCTGCCTCTTTTTCTCTTCTCTGTATGTGTCTCTGTCTCTTGTTCTATCTCTATCTCTTTTGTATAGGCACACGTGTGTGTTTGCCCACACCAGGCCTTTTGTCTGCATGACCTTCAGTTTTGCAATAACTTGCAGACTGGGGCCTTGACCAAGTTCACCTCCACCCACAGATACCTGCATTTTCCCAAGTGATAGAAAGGTGAGAGGCTGGTTGAGAAGCACCAGGAAGATCTTTGAGTGCACAGGCACATTATGCACCTTTCTAAATTCCTCCATAATTCAGCAATCCTGCCTGGTACCTAAAATAGGGAGGCCTGTGATGAGGGTGATTACCGGAGCCGCTGGGATCTGGTTTTCTCTCTGGCTTCAGCCCCTTCATAACACAGATGCTCTCCATGACAAGTTTGACAGGGCCTGGTGGGTTCTGCATCGCCTTCACAAGTGAGATGTCAGCTGGGTTTAGGGTGTCTAGTGCAGCAAGTGCGGCCTCAAGTGCTGGCATGGCCTCAGCCAGGTCCCCCTCACATTCAGTCTGGGAAGCACAAGGACAAAAGGGATAAGATGTTGGATGAGGTAGAGCTCTGCCCCTGGAGGAAGCAGAGAAGGTGAGAAGAGTCTCGTTGTGCCTGGAGGGGCCTCCCCAGAGTCCGTACCTAAGGGAAGATCTGATCATTGATGGCAGAAGAAACACTCAGTATTTGCATGTCCTGGACATTTGAGCACTCATCTTGTTGGCAACTTTTTGAAAATTAAGCATTGCTGAACTCATGGTTATGTATTACTGAATTCAGGGTAATTAGCATTCCCAGCTCTTCAAACATTCATTGTTCGTATGTGTTGGGAAACTTAACTCTTCCGGTTATTTTGAAATATACAAAAAACTGATGTAGACTATGGATACCTTTCTATGCTACAGAGCACTGGAATTAATTCTTCCTTTCTGACTATATTTTGGTAACTGTTATCTAATTCCTTAAAAAGTAAAAGTTAAAAAAGGAAAGAAAACCCTACCTGAATATTCAAATTGAACATATCCAGAATCCCTATTGATACTGTTATTTTGTTAACGGCCACTATTCTATTAGTCAGAATTGAAACCTGTATAGCTAATTTGCATCCCTTTCTCTTATTTCCTTATTAATAAACCCTACAATTCTGACTCTGAAAAAATTAAGTGTTTATTTTTTAACAAATTCCCAAGAAATATAAAGTGGGTGACTTCCCATCCATTGATCAGGGGTGGGTTGAGAGATGAGTAAAGGATAAGATGACAAATGGGAAGAGTTGGTAAGGGCAAGTTGAGGACAAAAATAAAACATGAGTGGTGGGAGAAGGTTGGAGATGGAGCAAGGGTCTGGAACATATATCTTCTCAAAGATGGGACTGTGGTGGAATGAGTGACAGGGTAAAGCTTAGAGATAGTGTAGAATTTCAGAAAAGGTAAGGCTGGGAATGGGGATAGAGATTAAAGCTGGGTAAGGAGTTGGGAATAAGATTGAGACAGTATATGTTTTATCATCTATTTGTTAAACACAAAATTAATACAATGGAATATCATCTAGCCATTGAAAAAATGAAGTTCTGATACCTACTATAACATGGGTAAACCTGGTAAACACCATGCTAAGTGAAAGAAGCCAGACACAAAAGGCCATCTATTATAGGGTCCCATTTTTACAAAATGTGCAGAATGGGCAAGTCCATAAAGGCAGAAGGTAGCTCAGTGATTGTCTGAGGTTGGAAGAGGAGAGAATGGGGAGTGACTGCTAATGGGTGATGAAAATGTTCTAGAATTAGTAGTGATGGTTGGACAATTTTATGAATGTACTAAAAACCATTATCAAATATCACCACCCCCCCAAAAAGCCCCAAGAGATAAAATGAATTAGCCAAAGTCACACAGCTAGTTAGTTATGGAGCCAGACTCCTAGATCGCTACTCTGTGAATTCTGTTAGTTCTCTAAGTCCAGGGAGTGATCTCATAGCCATGGTTGAAGTGAAATTTCACAAAAGAATGTCAATTCTTGGTTTGTTTGTTTGAGACAGAGTCTCAAACAGTTAGCCTTGAATTTTTGATCCTCCTGCCTCTGGATCCAGAATGCTAGGATTAAAGGTGTAGACCACCACTCCCAGCTGAGAATGCCAATCAATTCTTAGACAACTTAAAGCAGCATGTGTTGAGGTTTTATATCCCATAGGTTTACTATGATAGGCAAACAAAGCAAAGGTTGTTGTACCTGTTTACAAACCTATGTGTATGTGCATACATATACATGCATATGTGTGCGTTGTGGATTATTTTAGGTTTTCTGCTTTTCTTATAAACTTAAAGCAATGTTTTATTTAGCTTCATCATATAAAATCTCTACCCCACCCATGAGACACATCAGATGTTCCCATCAAAATGGAATGTCCTTCTTTGAGCAGTGATAATGGATTAGTTCCAGGGACAACTCAGAAAGAGCCTCCTACTAACTTCATTTTTTTTTTCTGATGAGAAATTAGTGGTGCTATTAATGAATGTGCTTTTAATATTATATAAGAAATTATGAAAATATTTGAGAGATCTGTATAACTCAGTAAACCAATACACTTTAAATTGGGGGAAAAAAAAAGGAAAAGAAGGTGCCAAATCAGCACACCTTTGTATCTTTGGCGGCTTTCAACTCTCCCAGATGCCCAAGGCTTCATAGTGTCAACAGTTTCATGCTACTTTCTTAAAATATGGCAAACAACTCATGACTCACATCTCTTTGTGCCTCCCTATGGCCTGGTAACTCTGCTCCTTTTCCCAGGGACAAAGCTTGGCTTTCTGCTCTGTCTTGGAGCAAGCTGGTTTGTCAAGTGACTTAAAAAGGCTTCTCATCATGACATAATCTGTAATGGTGATTCTCAGTGTTGGATGTGCATCAGAGTCACTGAGAAGCATTTACAACACCTCATAGTCAGGCCCCAGGTCTGGAGATTCTGATTCTCTCAGTCTGGGTGGGGTCTGCGTGTCAGCATTTTTAAAATTCCAAAAGTAATTCTGACATGGCTCTGCTGAGAAACTCCACTTTACACTACTGGAACACTGAAAACCAAGGGCAAGAGAAGGCAGACCTCACCCCACATAAGGGAGTGGTCACTTGATGAGTGATGTACCTCTCAATATGGTCATTGAGATGATTACATGACATTTTGGAAAAAAATAAATGTGATAAGATAATAAGTGAAAAAAAAGTCTGGTGAAAATAAAAATTACTTTATAATTACAATAACATAAAACTATCCCTGTGGACAGGAATAAGGAGACTTATAATTAAAGTTGAATCTTAAAAAGGTACTAAAATTGAGTTCTTAAAAATTATTTCCTATGCATTGTTATGACACACATTCCTGTGATTAAAACCTTATAATAAAAATGGCTGCTGTGTGTTAGCAATGCAAGGAATACCAGGGTTGTTAGAGAGACATAGAATACAGTGTGCACTGATGAAATGTGATCAAATCTTTAGTAGTTCTGGAAGATATGTCCTCATTACATGGGAAAAAAGTGATTCATTAGTCTGAGAAGAACTGACCACTTTAAGCAAACTACTGTACTTATGAAACAAATGTTTGGGACACATCTCTGTCTCCTCCGATCTCCTAACCCTCCCAGTAGGAATTCCACTTAAACTATTGAGTCCCTATACTGTACATTAGGCACTGTACTGTATACTCTTCATGCTATGTCATTTCTAGGGTTTAAGAAGAGTAGAGAAACTTAGAAATTCTTGCATGGAGCAGGATTGCATCCCTGAAAACTTTAGGAAGGGATTCTGGTCCACACACACAAAAAAATTTCAGAGCAAACAGGTTTCTTCCTTCTCCTTGGATAGCTTCTTCTACTTCCTGACTCATCTCCAGGATGTCACACCCAGCACTTGGGATGGGGTAGCACAGCATTTCAGTCCTTACCACTGAAACCTGAAGTGGCAGTTTATTTCTCTCGGGTCATTTCCCTATAAACCTTGTGTCGGCATTCACTTCCCTTCTGTTCCAGGAAGTTGCTGTTTTCCCCTGATACTACGGAGCAGAATCCTTGCTGTGATGTTCCCCTGCCTGATAGTCTCCACACCTGGTGAGAAGCTGGCCTTTTATCACACTTGATAGATTGCAAAGAACAGTTTTGGAAAACAGCTAACATGGACCTCAAGCTCTGATATAGGCTACAAGTTTCTCATGTTTTTCTCTTAGTATTCCTGTGTTATTGATGAGGACACTGAGGTAATGAAGGAGCAGAGTAAACATTCAGCCCTAACTGCCTGGTTCTAGTACAGAATCCTGAAAGAGTTGCAAATTCTTGTGTCTTCAGGGGCCTGCCCAAAGATACGAATGTGGGAAGTGGGCTGGCTGGGGCTTTGGTGAGCCGGAACATATGAGGGGCAGCATCTGTACTGGGTATTGAACCCAGGGCTTTGAGCATGCTAGGCAAGCAGTTTACTGCTTGAGGCATGCACACAGCCCTTTTGTTTATAGCTTGTTTTTTGAAATATGGTCTGAGAGACTTTTGCCCAGGGGGAAAACTTTGCCCAGGCTGGCCTTAAACTTGCAATCCTCCACCTCCCAAATAGCTGGAATTACAGATGTGCACCACCACACCCGATATGGAATACCTACTTATTTTTTTAAAAGGAAAATTTTCAAATTTAGAATTTTTATTGGAAAATCTCCTGATTTTTAAAAGTTGATAACTCTTCTGATTTAAAATAAGACATTTCTGGGCACAGTGGTGTGCACCTATAATTCCAGCAAGACCCTGTCTCAAAATAAACAAATAAAGTAAAATAAAATATTATGTATATCAGAGTGCACATGTGGTCCCTGGCTGCCAGTTTTCAACTTTTGGAACAATGGTCAAATGCCAGGGCTCTGAAGTCAAAGAGCTCTGGGTTTGAATGCAGATTCTGCCTCTTGGCAGTTGAGAAAAATCTCATGTCCTGGTTTCATCATCCAAAAGCTGGAAATGATGCTGTTTGCTCTGTAGAGCTGTTAGGATGATTAAAGGCAATGTGACTCTCCATGAGGGAAAGTCTTCTGTCTATCTTGTTCACTCCTATCTTCACAGTGCTTAAAAACATGCCAGCCCATAGCAGGCATTCAATAAATATTTGTTAAATCTGAAAGTAAGTAGCTATTATTATCATTGTGCCACAGAACAGCAAATTACCCACCAGAATATGGTTCTGGCACCTGGCAGTCACTATCTTTTATGGCTTCCATTTGTCTTCTGTCCAAGCCACTAGGCCCAGAAGTGAATAAGCCTTTGTAATCCAAAGTATTCACTGTGGATTCTAAGATCAAGAGTCAGACTCTTCCAAAAATTTACCAGAGGTCAGGTCTCAGGACTCACTGGAGAAAGCCATTTTGAAGACCTATCTTTTTTTTGGGAAAATGTGTCATGACATACTTAGGCTAAAAGCCAGACAAGCTACTTCTTGTCCAAGCCCATGGTTGAAGAAATCTTCCAACTGCTAAATAGGAGCATAAGGACAAGTGTCTTAAGCTATGTGCCATGAACCCAAGACTCTAGTTCTTCTAATTAGCTTAGAAGCTCTAGAAGGTCACTTCACCACTGACCCCAGTGCCACCAACTTTCAGATATTAGCAATGTTATTCTTAAGTCTCAAGGTGGTCGTGATACTCAAATGGAACCATGTACTCCAAAGTTCTTTGAGAAGTATGTACCTTCACATCAATGTTAATCAGATTTTCTTCTTCTTTGGTGTAAGGATCACCTTTGAATGGGGTCCTCTAGGCTCAACATTCTGTCATTTGACAAGTATTTGTTCCACAGTCTGATGCCCTCAACCACATGCTAACCACAACTGAGCAAAAATGTGACAGAGATGAAGGAAACAACTATGTGGATACCTAAAGGAGGAGCATTCTGTGAAAAGGCCCTAGGATAGGAGTGTACCTTATATTTATTTAAGGAGTACCTAGGAGGCCAGTGTGGCAGGAACAGAGTGAATGTGGGGAAAGTAATAACAGGTGAGGTGAGTTTATGTTGTGTCTTGTCAGCCTTGAGTTTGAGTAAGATGGAGAATGTTTGGAAAACAGGAATATTTCTTGGAGTCAACAGGTGCCAAAGACTTACTTTCTCACTTATTAGCTATGTGATACTGAGAGCCTCACTTGTCTCATCTGCAAGATGGGCAAGACCATGAGCATTCTGCTGGACTGTTCCCTCCCCTTCCTCCCAACTCTTCATACCTTGATTGCTTGAGAAATGGCAGCTGCAGCATTGGCTTCTTTTTCATCTGCCTGCACTAGAAGCTTCTTGGCATCGGCTTCTTTGGTCTCTTCTTCAATCTTCACCATCATCTTATCTGTTTCCTCAGAGGTTTGGATGAGTTGAGGTTGAAGAGCAGTCAGTTCTACTTGCATGACTGCCACCTAGCAAGGAGACAGGGTTAGCTGTGTCAATGCAAAAAATGGGAAGTTGGCAAGAGTTGAACTGATTCTCCAATCTATGAGATGTGCAGAAATATGGACTAATGATTTTGACCTGGTACTTGTTATGTATTTGTTGGCTGCTGGTTATTTCTTTGATCATTGCTTAGTTATTGAGTTCATGCTAGGTGTTGCAACGAGCTCTGTGCCAAGCACTAGAAATATATTCTAATGTTGAGTGCAGGAGAGAAAAACCAAAATCAAGTTTAAAAAACTTTTTTTAGGGCTGGGAATATGGCTCAAGTGATAGAGGGCATGCCTAGCAACCATAAGGCCCTGAGTTCACACCCCAGTACACACATACATACACCAAAAAAAAAAAACAAACCAAAAAAAAAACCAAGAAGACAGCTCCCATCAGACAATGAATCTCCCCATCTTAAGCTTGAACTTCCTGCATCCAGAACTGTGAGAAATAAAGGCTTGTTTTTGAAACCACCTAAGTTATAGCACTTGTTATACAGCTTGTACTGAAACAAGCAGTCTAATGCCCTCTAAAACATTCCTGCAAGTTTTTTTCCAGTCTTGGTTTGAACATCTCTAATGATGGGGGGCCCAGCACCTCTCAAAGGATTGTCTTTTTTTTTTTGGTGGGACTGGGGTTTGAATTCAGGAATTCACACTTGCAAAGCAGGCACCCTACCACTTGAGTTATACCTCCAGTACATTTTGTTCTGGTTATTTTGGAAATGGTGGTCTTATGAACTATTTGCCCAGGCTGGCTTTGAACCTCGATCCTCCTTATCTCAGCCTCTAAGTAGCTAGAATTATAGGCATGAGCCACTGGTGTCCAGCAGATCGTGCTTTTTGTTGTTTGTTTGCTCTTTGTTTGTTTTTTTTTTTAATGGGACTTGGGGTTGAATTCAGGGCAAGATTGTGCCATTTTTAAGACAACTAAACTCATTAGATTTTTTCTGATGAGGAGCTGGAATTTCCCCATGCTGTTTTCACCTACTTGTGCCAATTCCACCTTCTAAGGCAGTTCAGATACATGATCAGATTTTAAGTATTTGAAGAAAGTTGTTATGTTCTTGTACCCATTACCCACAGTCTGCCTGTGTGGGAGCCAGAACACAACACTCTGCCCTAGTTAGCACCATGGGCCCTGGAGTCAAGCATGTCTAAGTGTCAGTTTTGGTCTACCCACTTGCAGGCTGTGACCATGTCCTCTCTGTGCCATGGTTTCTTCATGTGTAATGGAGATAACAGGGCTTTTCTCATGCACAGCTCCAGGCATGTAGTCGGTCTTAAGGGATGCTAACTGGCACTGCCATACCTTTTCTGATCTAGACTGTTTTGTGTCCCTTTTCTGCTCCTCAAATAACAAGGTTTACTCACCCTTATCTGGACAGACTCTAGTTTGACATTTCTATAAAAGTCAGTAACTCTACTTGGACCTAGCACTCCCAGAAGCAGAGCAATGGAATCCTCCCTGATGTTCTCTCCCATACCTCTGGTGTAGTGTTAGTGGATTTGCTGTACATAGCAACAACATTTAGGCCATTTTTATTGGTACCAAAAAATCCATCCCTGAATATAGCTCTAATTTTAGATGGTTTGTCAAGTGGCTCCAAGCACAAATCAATGAGTAACTCAGAGACCAGGTGCTTTGCTAAGGGCTATACTTGTGTCAGCTCATTTGTTCTTGATAATAGCCCTATGCGGTAAAAACTATTATTATTTCCTTTTCACAGAAGAGGAAACTGAGGCTCAGAGAGGTCATACAATATGTTCAGGTTTTACAGCTAGTAGGTTGTACAACTGAAATTTTAGTACAGGCCCAACATACAATGCCCTGTCTTATCTTGCCTAAACAAGGATGCATAAAGTGAGGCACAAAATTTAAGGCACCAAAATAGTACTTAAGATAAATACTACTTTATTTCAATAGTTTAAGGAATCAAAATTAGTGCAAAAAATCCAGATGATCAAGATATCAAAATCTCAAACACAGGATTGCACAGGGCCAGGATTAAAATAAGGAAAGTGATGTGAGCCCTGCAAATGTAGGTCAGCTCCTGTCTTTATTTAGCACTTTTTCTTTTTTTAATGTGGTAGTGGGGTTTCAACTCTGGGTTTCACACTTATTAGACAGGCACTCTACCACTTGAGCCATATCCCAGCGTTGATGCCTTTTTAAATTCTGCACTTCATCACATGCACTGCATCAAGGCCTCTGTCCCTGTTCTATTTGGGAAGTGCTCACTTGTGAAGATGCAAAGTCGAGCTTCTGCAAACCCGTCAGGTAGCGGTTTCTCATCAGGTCCACCTCTTGCCTCTTGCTATTCAGGAGTGCCTTGAAGGTTAAGATCAGTTCAAGATAGGAGGTGGGAGTTACATAATTGTGTCTGCGAAGTGTGTTGTAATAATCGAGTGACAGCTTCTTCACGCTCTCCTGAAAATATTTGCACATAGAGACAACCCTGCCAAGGATACCAACATGGTTAGGCAGGCCCCAACTTACTGCTGAGAGATCCAGCACAATTTGGTAACAGATACAAGAGCCTCAGATGGCATATATACTACTTATGGCTCACTATGGTCCAACAGGTCAACAGAGTGGAGTAGAAAGGAAGTGGGAAGTGAATACTCTTACCAGAAAGATCTCTGATCCCTCTGGTGAGCTACCAGGGCTTATGCCAGACTTTCTAACCATTGACAGTCTGAAGAAGCCTCCTGACTTTGCAGAATTTCATAATCCTATTATATTTTGTCTATTACATTATTTAAAATAAATGCTTTAAGTGCACAAAATAAGGTAATACTGCTTTAAATGTACAAAATAAAATAGACAAGGATTATCAAGGAAATCAACTATATTGAAACAACTTTTCAAAATGTTTTTAAAGCCAAATTTGCAATATAGTAATACATGTGATTCTTTAATGATGCATTAAATCAGGGGCCAGCAAACTTTTTCTGGAAAGAGTCAGATAATAAATATTGTAGTGTTTTGGGGTCACATAGCATCTGTCACAACTGCTAAACTCTGCTATTGAAGTGTAAAATCAGCCACAGACATGTAAATGAATTAGCATAGCTATGTTTGAATAAAACTTTATTGACAAAAACAGGCTATGAATTGAACTTGGCTCATGGACCACAGTTTGCCAACCACAGTATTAAATAATGAAATTGGGCAGCAAGTCTAAAAACCACCATGCTTTTGAAGGAAGTGATACATGGATGTATCTGTAATGACTGAATGAGATTGTTGCCTATATTCATCACAGAAAGAATGTAAAAGATGAGTAGGATGTCAGTGAAAATGGAAATGTAATTTATCATCATTTATATTTATGGACCTACTGGACTCTATTCACAAGCAAGCTTGTGGATCCATGTTAAGGGTTTTCTGATCTAGAGGATGAAGTTCAAAATTCTCATTTTGAATTTCTTCAAATTCTTGGTACTCTGACCTTTGTCTATTTCATTTTTCACTCATTCATTTAACAAGTGGTAATTAAACCTACTACATACCAGGCCTTGCTAGACACTATGGGCATAGAAGCAAACATGGTGACTGAGTTCCGCCTTCATGGAGCACACAGTGTGGATGACATTCTTATCATTCCCCTTACTCTAGCCAAAATTAAGTGCTTTCAGGGAGAGGGTATATCTGTTCTTTAGGCCTAAAAGAATAAGTTTTTTTCAGCCTCACAAGAACAAGTTTTCACCCCCTTGGCAGCAATATAATTCTCATTGACAATGCATGGTCTAAGACTATTGAAATAAGTATATTATTATATGTAGATCCTCATAGCTATGACAACCGTACATCTCCAGGATGAGTCTGAACAATGAAATTTTATTATTTCAGAATAGGTACTTTATTAAAATATCTAACTAAATGTGACTTGATTTAAAAGCATAAGACTTTTTGACATGTAAATTGAGAAATCTTAGAAACAACAAAAACAGATTTTTTAGCTTGGAATATTCAGGGTACTAAAATGCAGCTAAAGCTTACTCTGTTCGAATGTTGTCATCAAGTTCCACATCCTCTAGAAATTTGTTGGCCACCAACTCCAGGGCATCTGTGGGCCAGGACTGGAACCAATCGATGGTACAGCAATTGATCAGCGAAGGGAACATCCGCAGGCGGTTTCTGAAGGCATCTCCAATTGGATTCATGGCTTTGAAAAGTAGGTTTTGTTAATTCCCTTCCTCCAAGGCAGGGAGATGAAAGGGGGGAAGGCAGGAAGGTAGAAATTCCTAAGGATTCCAGTAGGGTAAAGCAGGGGGTGGAGGGGTGTCATGCTTCTTGTTGGAACTCCAGCAAGGGCATAATTGTGAGTAGTCATAATGAGGGCCTGGAAAGCATGGGGGAATCATGGAATGCTTTCACATAACTTTGTGATGGGATCTCAATGTATTCAGACTAGTCTCCCATGTACACTATTGTACCATCTGGATCCTTTGGGTCCCTTAGTCAAATTGGCTAGAACTGCTGTATCTGTACTGACTCAGATATAAGGGAGCCATGGATTTCCCATACAGAGTTACTTAAAGAAGTTGCTATCGGCTTGTTTTTGACCTCATTTCCATTTAACCAGAAATGTTGGATTATACATCCTAAATTCCATTCATTATTTACTTAGACCCAGTGTGATAGGAGGAACCATGATGCATAGGTGTAAGAGGTTTGAAGAACATAGGTTTGAAGAACATATGAATGCACAGGTTTGAAGAACAGAGGGGAAGCACTTTGTTTGAGAGGAGGTTAGAGAAGATGCAGGGGATAGTCTGGCAGGTGGCCTTTTAAGATCACAGGTCCTTATCCTAATGAAAAACAATGTTAAGTGTTTTAATTTGTGTTTTTGTGTGTACATGTATACACACAATCATATTTGGAATACATGAAAAAAAAATCATTCTGGCTCAATGGAATAAAGATGGACAAGAGCAGAGAAAGAACAGTTAAAAAGGTACAGAGATGAACTGTGGATGAGATGATAGCAGGTGGTGGAGAGAGAGAAAAGAGGGGAGTTATGAGAGGCAGTGAGGAGGTAACAATCAACCAGTCTTGGTAATGAGAAAGAAATATTAAATTCAACTCCCAGGTTTCTGGATTGATTAGGGGTGTCATTCATAGAGAACAGCACAGGTGTTCTGTGCAAGAGTAATGTGCTAAAGTACACTCTTTCTCAGAGGAGATTTCTCTTTTGTTCGAAGAGAGTAGAATAGGTTTAAAGTAATTGTTCAGGGGAAGAGTGGGAAAAGTTGCCATAGGAATTACAAATCCTGATCACTGGCTGCTGCACTGGTGGATCAACTTTGGTACTATTGAAGGGGATGGGGCTTAGGGTACTAAGAAGACCCCTAAAACACCGAGAGGAAAAAGAGCAGATTGAGTTTACTTCTTCTCACCAAGCACAATGTGAAGGTTCTTTTTCACCCTCTCAATAAAGAAGTTGTACATAGAAAGAGGAGTGACTTCAAACTTCTCTCCTTCTGTCCTGGCTGCTGATTGCATCTTTTCCACAATGTCAGCCTTCTCATCAGCTGGAAAGATATTGGGCACATCGCCTGTGTTCAGAAGCATGTTGATGTCCTCAACAAATGACTCATCCTTGATCTGGTTATCAGCAAAGAGGAACACAGTACTCTTGATGGCCACCCCAGCCTGCAGCATGATCTTCTTCAGGTCCTCCCGCCAGTCATTGCCTGTGTAATTCTTTGTGATTTCAATCTGGTATAGCTCATATGAGTTCATGAATGTAGATAGTTTGGTGGCACTCTGCCGCCCACTGCCCCCAATGCCTACCAGAAGCAAGTGGCCTTTGTTCTGCTTCAGGACTCTGCAGATTCTGGAGATGTGCTCAATGGCAAATTTAAACATGACCAAAGACATGGGGGCCTTACTGATGTTGTTGAATTCTTCCAGGTAGTAATCCATAACCACTGTGAGCTGTTTCAGATCAGTGATCTCATCATAGATTTTCTGGTCACTTCCTGGCTTGAAGAAATCCCCAAAGAAGAGGCTACGGATGTTATCATCAGCTATCTTTCCATCGGGTGACAAGTGGATGAGCACCTGTGAAAAAGATAAGTGTCAGCTGGGCACTCAGCCCAACCATAGTAGCTGTGAGTGGTGTGGAGGGAGTAGAGATATGCTGGTTCTTTCAAGTCATGGTTAATCAGTAGTTTTTTTCCTAACATGATATATAGATCTGCTGGTTGAAAACACAACAACAAAAGAACATTAAGGAAAGTGTGAAAAGGAACATCGGTCTATTTACCAGGTAGATACACGTTGGTGGTCAGATTATAAGGCCCCCAGAGAAGACAGCTATGCTTGCTCCTTCACCACAGAGAGGTACAGGCACTACCCCTGGTCCCTACTCTGTAGGGTAGGAGTTCTTTAGATGTTTCTCTACCTGACATTAGGACCTGGCAATTGGCCTCTGGGTGTAACATAGAATAGTCTCTTTTTTTTTTGGAGAAACCACAGCTTCTTAGCAATGGAGGTAGAACAAGATGATGCAAATAGATAAGATTTAAATCACTTTCCTTATATCAAAGTGGAAAAGAGAAAATACTCACGAATGCAAGACCATGATAATCTTTCACTTGGGCTTTATAAGAACCTCAAAATATGAAAACTCATATTTTTTTCAACTTCAAATGAATTAACTCTAAAATGCATTTTAAGCTAATTATTAGTAAATAACATTATATATTAACCACTTTTTTTTGAGACATGGTTTCACTACATAGTCCAAGCTGGCCTCAAAGATTCTCTTGTCCCTACCTACCAAGTGCTAAGATTTAGGCATGTGTCACCATGCCAGGCTTATTAACCACTTTGAATGTATTCAAACTTATATGCCACTATAAAAGTGAAACAAAATTAGGTCAAGTAAAATATCACCAAATCAAATGACTAGTTGACATAAGATCCAGAAAGCAGAGTGGTAAGTCTCTATTGGGAATAGAACCTGGCATCTGAGACTAACATGATCAAATACCGGGACCATTTCTGGGATCAACTGATCCTAGAAGCTGGCTTACCTTCTCCAGAGTCTGCTTAAAGCAATTGGAGGTGGTTTCCTTCACCATATTGAAGAAGACCTGTCTGTCTTCCTGGTCAATCAGACGGTCATAAAAGACTCGATAAACTTCATGAATCCAAAGCCGGATAAATTTTTCCACATCCTAAAAATCCAGAATTAATTATTTGAATGAAGGTGGTGCCTGAAATGGTGGTTCTCAAGAAATAACTAAGTCCTTGGGTTGAGGTGAAGCATAAAGGAGGCAATGCTGGGCACGATGCCAGCATAGACTAAGTACTGAAGAAAAGCTAGATATCACTATCATCATACATCCAAGGATATCGATGAATGATCAGGGTAATAGACAAGATAGCAGCTGACCTGCAGGTGGGTGTGAGGGCATAGCAGTACCCCCTGGATCACCCGGGAGAAGTCCCGCAGGTTAAAGACGTAATGTGACTTGGAAGGAGTTGGCAGGAAGTTCTCCACTGCAGCTCTATAAATAGTCTTGGTAGCTTGAACCAGCATCTTCCCATACCTTGTGAGAAAGAGGAAGATAGACCAGTCAAGAAGGGGACAAAACTGAGGACCCCCAGACCAATACCCAGGAAGATAAAGGAACCTCTTACCTTAAGAAGTTAATATCAAATCCTTTCCTGAAGTGCCAGTCAGCAATAGAACTGAAAATCTTAGTTAAAATGTCATCCTCAAAGGCATTGATGGAAATGATACTCAGATGACGAGTGAATCGTCCTGGAATATACACACACACTTGTGTTTTCACATACACTTCTTAGACCTTGTGACTTTGGGATATAGGAAAGTTGGTTTTCCCTCTGCCTTCATGTTCTATAGCTATGCTGTCTAATGTGTAAGCCTTTAGCATATGTTGCTATTTAAACTTAAATTCATTAGTATTAAGTAACCTTAAAAATTAATTTCCTCAGTCTCAGTAGCCACATTTCAAGTGCTCAAGAGCCAAGTGTGGCTAGTGGCTACTGTATTCATCAGTATAGATATAAACTATCTCCATGATCAAAGAAGTTATGACAGTGCTAGCCTGGTGCACAAGATAATTTTTAAAAGATAAAAGCAATAATGACCATTGAAAGTAATCAAATAAGTCAGAAATAGTTTTGTCGAAAGTATCTCCTTTATTGACTTACCTCCCCCTTCCCAAAGTAACCCTATCATACTATTCTTAACTCTGTTAGATGTTCCATCACTACTTTTGCTTTTTCCTGCACACGTGCAGATAATTTGCAGGTTTTCTAACTGGGTTGTTCCTACTACTACCCATTTGTATTTTGCAATTTGTGAGAAAAACCTGTAAGCTAACTTGTTGTAACTGTTCCTTCTAGGTTTTTATTTTGCTAATAAGTTGCTCTGTATATGTGGGGATTTGGGAAGAGTCAAAACTTGGGAATATCATTGTTGCTGTCATTCCCCATATACCATCTACACACATAGACATTTTATATATATGTGTGTGTGTGTATGTGTGTATATATATATATATATATATATGTACACACACTAACATGCAGGTTTTGCTTTTTAAAAAAGTAAAGGAATGGCATTTTAAATATTGTTGATCTGTGACCATTTTGATGACAGGGATAAAAACAATATTTAATGTATATTTATGTTTGCCAAACCATGTTCTCAGTCACCGTACTATATTGCCTTAAGCCTCAGTTTCCCATCTTAGTCCTGACAGCTGGCAATTAATCAGCTAAGCTGTTGGTTCTCTGTTGAATTTTAATTTCATTAAAAATCAACATCAGATATGATTACTCCATGACTGTGATAGAATATTATAGAAAGAAGATTACTCTGCCAACCATGAAAATTACCGAACTTCCTCCTTCACAGCTAACATGAGTGACTCAGCTTCTTTACCAAGTGAAAACTCTAGCTGTTCTTCATTCCGCCTGACTCCCGGATAAAAATTTCTAAGTTACTTGCTCATCAGATTGTACCTACTCCCTGAGAGCACCCATTCCAGAGCTGATCCCTGTTCCCTTACTTCTCAAATCACCCAACAAAGCCCATCTGACTCCCTCTCACCAGGCAGTCCCACAACTGTGCATGGAATACAGACACCTTGGCTGTAGCAACTAATATACCTAATTTCACTTGACTACCGAGTATTCCTGGCAGTCTTTAGGCACTGAGTTTTATTATACAGGTTTTTCAAAGATTGTATTTGTGGCATACCTTGAAAACTGTCCATTTCTGTGTCCTGGAAACAGATAATCCCTTTTGAGCAGCTCAATCTTAAACAGAGAAAACTAATGTACCAGGTTCCCTGCCTCTCACTGGTGAGAGAAGTGTTGAATTTATGGATTCTAGGATCTTTAAATACTGCTGTATTCAAACCAACCACAAAGGCACCCCTCAACTCTATACTTGAAATGGAATGTGATGGCTTGGGTACCCAGATGAGTTCATCCTGTCCATTTTCCTTATTTTGCAGATGAGAAAGCTGAGTGACAGAGGAGAGACTTTTCCAAGGTCAAAGAATCCAAGTCTGAAAGTGATATGAAGATTCTTTTTTTTTTGCAGTACTGGGGTTTGAACTCAGGGTCTACACCTTGATCCACTCCACCAGCCCTTTTTTTGTGAATGGTTTTTTGAGATAGGATCTCATGAACTATTTGCCCAGGCTGGCTTCAAACTGTGATCCCTCTCATCTCTGCCTCCTGAGTAGCTAGGATTGCAGGTGTGAGCCACCAGCACCTGGCTGATATGAAGATTCTTAACCAGGAATGTTTAGCAGAGTTAAAGTGCAGAAACCTGAGGACATAGATGGATCAAATTGCACCTGAAGATATACTTCCACATTGTTAAATGATGAGAAGAGAATTCTATTTATTTACTTATTGATTTAATTGCTAATTTACTATCATTATAAAATATTACTATTGCTTAGGCCACTTTGGGTTAGGTGCTCTGTCTTTTAAAACCTGAAGAATGCACACAAAAGGTGATTGTCATACACCACATTGATCTCAGACCTATCCTTCTGCCTGGGTCACATGCTGGCCACCCTGAACTCTCTTCTTTATATGGCACTCTCTATTTCTCTAGCACCAAGCCCAAAACTCCTCACACCCTCCTGTCGTATTCCTATTCTTTTTCATACAACATGGCGTCTGGAACTAACCTAAGTCTCTCCAGTTGTACCCTAAACACACTTTGCTCCACAATCTCTCAGGAGAGAGTACCCTGCATCAATCTTTCATTCATGATGGCCAGCTCTACTGGGGAGGGGGTAAAGGAATAAGCTCTCTCTCTCTTTCTCACATACCAGTAATGTCATTCCTTCCTCCCCCAGGGGGGCCCATGGCTGTCACAAGCAGCACATCCGTAATGTCCAGCCTGGTCGTGTCTTTCTTGTCAAACCAGTAACCATGGTCAATCCATTGTCTCAGAAGCTCGATTGGGGGCTGGGCCCCATACACCTCTTTAGCTGGCATGTTGAGGTCATCTGCGGAAAGAAGCCACAGCCACTCTCTATAAGTTGGTGGGATCCTCACAGGAGGTGACAGGTGAGTATTTCTTCCAGGGGGATTCTGTGCTCAGTTGTCCCATCTCTATCTAGGCAGAGCTTAGTCATGGATATCCTGGCCAGATGGGAAGGGGTTTTCCTGGGTTCTGGGCTTTCCTGCCTTATTGAGATCTCTGCTCACTGTGGTTTTGTTTAGGATGCATAGATTGGCATCAGAAACAGGCATTTATTTTTTCCTACTTCCTTCAACCAAAATATACTAATTGTCTACTGTGAGTAAGAGAACTTGTTAATTGCTGAAGATGTGACAGCAAGGAGCCAGCCAACCATTTTTGGTTGTTTGTTGTTGTTATTGTTGTTGTTGTTTTTCAGAAGGAGTCTTACTAAGTTTCTGAGGCTTATCTCGAGCACCACAGGCCAATGTTTTTGGTGATACTAGGGATTGGCCCAGGGCCTCACATATGGTAAGCATATGCTTTGCCACTGAGTTACAACCCCAACCCCTAACAGGGCATTTAATTTGACCCACTGGTAATACTGAACTCCACTGAGAGCAAGGCTTTGAACTAGGGTTTTTGTTGAGCAAAACCAAATGGCAAAGATTGATGATGGGCTTCCTTTAGGGCAGGGATGACACTGCCCTCTGTAGCATATGGCTCAGTCCTGACACATAAAGGCATGCAATAAAATTGAGACTCTTAATTTTTCTTCAGCGAACATTGATAGAGTGCCCACTTTGTATCAGGTAACATTTTAGAAGATTTAAATATTTATTACATCTAATCCAAATAACAACTTTAAAGGAAGAAGTATAACCTCTAATTTAAAAGTGAGGAATTTACTCTTTAGTCTAGGAGGTTAAGACACACTATACCTAGGGGTTAAAAAGAATATTCGAGGGCTAACAGAGTTGCTCAGGAGGTAAGAGTGCCCATCTAGCAAGTGTGAGGCCCTGAGTTCAAGCCCCAGTGCCACCAAAAAAAAAAAAAAGAGTATTTGAACTCAGATGTGCTTAGTTGCAAAGCTTAAGCACAAAAATAGAGAGGAAAGCCAGGATGGAGGAAAGGGAGGAAAAGAAAGGAAAAAATAAAACAAAATAGGATCCATGCTTTTAAGCAACTGACATTAGTTGGCAAGGATAAAAATACATGTAATGTTTACTATTGGGCCATTATGAAAATTCTCCGAGTTATCGGATAGTGGGAAATAGAATGTTTGACCCCAGAATTTTCTAGATGTTTGACCCTAAAGAGGGGATTTAACCTTCTGGGGCTTCAATCAATGGATTAATAAAATCAGGATGATTAATAATCTCATGGGGTTCTGAGACTCAAAGGAAAAAATGAAGTGCTTTGTAAAAAAGGTAAGGTTCTGAGAAAATTCAATGTTCTTATTTCACAAATATTTATTTAGCAGCTACTAGGTTCCTTCCTTTACTGATAATATACTTATCTGATGGAAAAACAGAATAAAGGGCTGCTCAAAGTATCTGTTGCTTTTAGAGATGTCAGAGGGCAAATGCCATGGTCCCTTTCTAAAACTATTGCTTACTGGAAGGAAGGGAGGGTGGGAAGAAGGAAGGAAGGAAGGAAAAAAGGAAAGAAGCAAAAAAAATGAAGACAGGAAGGAGAAAGGGAAAAAGGAGAGGAGAAAAGGGAGGGAAGGGATCCTAAATTATATTAAACAGAAATATTTTATTTCCTAGAGAGACTAAGGAAAGCTCTGGTTTGCTGAAGCTTGGGGTAGAAGAAAGCTGGTTGTGATCAGACCTAGGTCCAATGTCTTACCTACAAACACCACTGCTTTCTTCCCCATAGGAGGACCAAAAAGTCCCTTCCGCCGGCGATCCAGCTTGGACATGATGATATCCTGTGTCTGATTGGCTGAAGTTCTGGCAGAGAAATTGATGAAGTTGGGCTGGTAGATGTTTTTGGGAAGGCTGAGAAGAAAGTTGTTGGTGATGGCTGATTTGCCAGTACCTGTGGGGCCCACGAACAGCACTGGAATCTCATGGTCCAGGTAGGTTTTCAAGAAGAAGGACTGCCGGGCAGTCTCCATTGTGGGGATGATGAGTTCTGAGACCTGTACCACAAAGATACAGAAAAATCTTGGCCCTGGACCCAGTGGGATGGATCTTGCCATTCAAGGAACCTGGGTTCAAATTCTAGCTCCAGCTGGCAGAAAGGATCAAGAGTTAAGAGCGCCTACCTTGTAAGCCCTGAGGTCCTGAGTTCAAGCCTCAGTAACCACCCCCCCAAAAAAGGAGGGTAATCAAATTCTATCTCCATTCCTTGCCATCTTTATGACTATGAGTGAGTATTTAACCTCTGCAGAGGCCTCAGTTTCTTCATCTGTAAAATTTTGAATACTAAATGGCACCTAATACACAGAGTTGGTTTGAGATTAAATGAGACCATGCATGTAAAGGTAAGCAATATTGTCTCTGTTTTGAAGATGAGGAAACAGAGGTCCAGAACCCATCTGCAGTTATCCCAAGTAACAAAATAAGTATGTGGAAAGCAGGAATTTGAATCTCAGCTTGTACAATTCTAAAGTCTGTATTCTTTTTTTTTTAAAAACATTATAATAATAATCAGTCCATAGCTGCTATCTCTGTGACTATTGCTTTGAACCAACATGTCTGTCTTGTTTCAAGCAAGAGCCATCTTCCACATTCCATTTATACTGTTTGACACAGAAGGTTTAGGTTTGTTATGGTTTGGATCCTGAAGGGTCTCTCAAAACTCATGTGCTGAAAGCTTGGCCTCCAAATCTTCAGAGGTGGAACTTTGGGGATAACTTAGGCTCTGAGCTAATCCATGGATTCATAATTTAATAGGTTACTAGAGGTGGTGGAAACTCAGGAGATGGGACTAAGTTGGAGGGAGTGGAATGGGCTATTGGGGGTGTGCATTTGAGGGCTGTCCTTCTTTGCTTGCTCTCTCTGCTTCTTGGCTGCCATGAGGTGACCAGTTTTTCTCTGCCATGATCTTCTGCCAGAATGTTATATCTCACCACAGGCCCAGAAATGATGGGGCTAAGTGACCACAGACTGAAACTTCTGAAATCATGAGCCAAAGTAAATCTTTCCTCTTTTAAGTTGACTTTCTCAGGTACTTTCGACAATGACAGAAAGGTAACCTAAGTTGTGACCCTGGACCTTTACTCCCCATGCTTGTTGCTGATCCACTTTTCTTAACCCTCAGATCCTTGGTACTAAAACACATACCCATCTAATTAATCCCTTGCCTTTTTCAATATGGAGGTTGCACATAATTCTCCTTGGTCTTCAGCTCCTAACTGGACTCTGAGGGCTCGGTCTTGGCCTCCTGGAATCCCTATTACTTTAGCTACATCTGACCTTAGCTTGGCTTCTCAGAGCCAACCATTTGGTCACATCTAGTCCCTCCACAGGGGTAATAATATGAATATCATATGTGGAAATCTCCTTGTATCATGTCTAGGCTGAAAATGATTCACAAACTTGAGGCTGTTGTGTTGTACAACTCTAGAAAGTACCATTCACACCATGATTCATGCAAATGGTGCACCTAAAAGCCAAAGTGTGCAGATGGTGCCACCTGAGTCTGTGCAACTTGGAGACAAAGGCTTTTCCTGGGAGTAATTTCACTAAAGGAAAAGAAGCAGACGGGGTCAGGTAACTGAAGTGAAGAGAGAATGAACGGGTCTATAATGAGGGTTAACAGAACTATGATGTCTTCTTTCCTATATTAGCTCCTGAAGTCTTCCCCATAACCTTCTGAGGCAGGTAAGTAACAATGCAAGTGAAAAAACTGAGGCTCCAAGAAAGCTGGCTAACTTGGTGAAAGCCATTGAGCCACTAAGTGATGCTCAATGCACAGCCACATTGAAGATGCCTATTTTGCAATCAAGCATGGGAATTTAAGAAAAGTTGGGTTTCATAGAGTTTTATTTTCAGTAACTAGGTCAACTGTTTGACAAGGGAAGAATTCCCAGCAGAACTGCAGATATTTTCTACATTGGACTCTTAGCTGTATGAATTCAGCAAGATTTCAAATCCTCGGGGGTCAGGTGACTAAACTGTTTAAGGAGATTTAAAGTTTATGACCTCAGTGCTGAAAGTTTCTTTATAGTACTCAGCTCCCCAGGGTATGCCCCAAAGGCAATGTGCATTCACCCCTGCCTCACACATGCTCACACATGCAGCTGTGGTCCTGCCTAGTGTCTGACTTGGTTGTCAACATTCCCACTTTCCTATCCACTATCTACCACCCCACCCAGGACCTGAAAGATCTGCAGCCACCCCAGAAAGATAGGTTATGTCGACTAGACTCTACTAACAAAGGCATAAAAGTGCATATCCTCACAAAATTTCCACAGGACTAGAATGAGCAGGAGTTATTGGTGAATTATCCCAAAAATGTATTAATCAGAACCTGTGTTTCTTTTTTTTATTGTTTTATTATTCATATGTGCATATAAGGCTTGGGTCTTTTCTCACCCCTGCCCCCACCCCCTCCCTTACCACCCACTCTGCCCCAGAACCTGTGTTTCTGAGTTCTGATGAAGAAATCTTTTCCTGAGGATTTTTTTGCTTAGATGAGCAAGAAGTGGATTGACGCCTAGTATTATTGATAATGACAATAATCAGAACAGCAACAAACATTGATCTAACCCCTATTATGTGCGATATGCTCATATGTATGGCCTTTGATTACTGGATCAACCTTCAAGTGTTTTTTTCTTCCATTTTAAGGTTGAATAAAGTGAGGCAAAGAGTATGGAGGCTGAGTAAGGAATCTGGGTCTCTCCGATTCTCAAGTTCATGCTTTTGAAAGTTTGATTGAGCTAATTTTTTAAATCTTTTCCTAAAGAAAGCTCTTAAAAATGCTCACATGGAACTGTTAATTCCTTCATCTGGGAAGGTATTTGAGAAATTCTGGAAACAAACTACAGTTCAGTGGCTAATCCTGCTCTTTTACCTTTGCACCAGCAGGGATATTTTCTTCCTCTTTGGTGATATACTCTGTCCACACATCCCAATATCCACTACCTTGTTTGATGAAATAAAAATCATAGATGCTTCCTGTACACAAAGAAATAGGACATTAGCATACCAAGGATTGACATTTCATATTTGAGGTATTTGACTCTCTCAGCTATAGGCATCTAAAATATGTAACAACCAGTCTTGGCATAATTGTGCTGAAACTTACATGCCGCTGGTAACTGTACAAACTGGAGTAGCACTTAAAGAGTAACAACTTGATTCTTTGCATTAAGCATTAAAATGATAAGTGCTGATTATATAAATTATTAAATGATTCTTAATAACAAGAACAGCAACTATTGAAAAAGAACAAAAAGATAATAAATTATTCCAAATAACTTTGTGGGGGGGTACTGGGATTTGAACTCAGGGTTTTATGCTTGCTAAGCAGGTGCTCTATCACTTAAGCCACACATCTAGCCCCCAGAAATAACTTTTTTTTTCTTTTATTATTCATATGTGCATACAAGGCTTGGTTCATTTCTCCCTCCTGCCCCACCTCCTCCCTTACCACCCACTCCGCCCCCTCCCTCTACCCCCCACTCCCTCAATACCCAGCAGAAACTATTTTGCCCTTATTTCTAATTTTGTTGTAGAGAGAGTATAAGCAATAATAGGAAGGAACAAGGGTTTTTGCTGGTTGAGATAAGGATAGCTATACAGGGCATTGACTCACATTGATTTCCTGTGCGTGGGTGTTACCTTCTAGGTTAATTCTTTTTGATCTAATCTTTTCTCTAGTTCCTGGTCCCCTTTTCCTATTGGCCTCAGTTGCTTTTAAGGTATCTGCTTTAGTTTCTCTGCGTTAAGGGCAACAAATGCTAGCTAATTTTTTATGGCAATTCTTCCATTCCTCTTCCTAGGTACACTAACATATTGAAGACAGAAGGACGCATAGATGAGAGAAAGAATTTTGTAAGAATGGGATCATCTGACATATACTATTTTTAAATAAAGACGTTAAATTTGATTTTTCTTAATTCTAGCAGAAGAAAAGAAAACTGCAATGAAACAAAAGACCCTGTTGGATTTTAGATACATCATTGTTCACTATAAAGATACTCGTTTTTAGCCAGGTGCCGGTGGCTCACATCTATAATCCTAGCTATTCAGGAGGCAGAGATTAGGAGGTCAGCCCTGACAAAATGTAAGTGAGACCCTTTCTCAAAAATACCCAACAAGAGCTGGCAGAGTGGCTTAAATGACAGAGTACCTACCTAGCAAGTGTGAGGCCCTGAGTTCAATCCCCAGTACTGTCAAACAAACAAAAGATATTGGTTCCTAAAACAAACTTCTTACTTAAAAAATAATTCAAGTCTTTAAGGACTCAAAGTCATTATGCTTTTTTGTTTATTAAATTTGGTGGTACTGAGGTTTAGAACTCAGGACTTCACAGTTGCTAGGCGGGTGCTCTACCACTTGAGCCATGTCACCATACATTTTATTCTGGTTATTTTGGAGACAGGGTCTCCCTTTTTGCCCATGTCAGCCTGGACTTTGATACTATTTTATGTTTCCCACTGTAGCTGGAATGATGGACATGCAGCACCATACCTGGCTTTTTTCATTGAGATGGGGTATCACAAATTTTTTTTGCCTTGGCTGGCCTCAACCAGGATCCTACTGATCTGGGCCTCTCACATAGCTTGGCATGGCAGGTGCATGCCACCATGCCCAGCTATTGGTTGAGATGGGGTTTCTCGAACAATTTGCCCAGAACCATGATCCTTCCCAATTTCAGCCTCCCAAGTAGCTAGGATTATAGGCATGAGCCACTTGCACTTGGCTCATTATGTTTTTAAAAATCATTTAAACTAATTTTATTATTGTATTTTAAACATTTTATTGTGAAAATTTAAAATACAAAATTAAGAGCATTGTATAATAAACCATGATACATATTCCTTCCTACCTCCCTTCCTTTTTCTCTCCTTCCCTCCCTTCCTTTCTTCCTCTTTCCTGCGCCTCCTCTCCTTCTTCCCTTTTCTCTCCCTTTCTTTTTTTTTCTCTCCTTCCCTTCCCTTCTTTTTTCTTTGTCTCGGATATTTTAAAGCAAATCCTGACATCACATCATTTCACTTGTGATTTAATTTTAGATCATTTTTGCTGATTCCTTTCTTTGATTTTGACCATACTGAGGTCTGAACTCTCACACTTGCTAGGCAGGCACTCTACCACTTAGGCCACATTTCCAGCCCTGTTTTGCTTTAGTTGTTTTTCAGATACAATCTTATGCTTTTTTGCCTGGGGCCAGTCTCAGACTACAATCCTCCTACCTATGCCTCCTATGTAGCTGAGACCACAGATGCATACCACCATGCCTGTCTTGTTGGTTGAGATGGGTCTTGCTAACTTTTTGCCTGTACTGGCTTCATACTATGATCTTTCTGATCCTCCTCCTGAATAGCTGAGATTTTTGGATGTGTACCACCATGCCAAGACCTTGATTATTTCTTAAGCTATTAGGTGGTTCACTCTCACTTTTCCTTCCACCTCCCCTTCTCTGGCTCCTTTCATTATCAATCAATGATGATATATAACTACCTTTGTCAAGATTTATAATGTTCATTATATAAACCTTAATGTTCATTTTGTTCTGCAACCATAATTCTCCCATTCCTTAGTCTGAGGACCATACAGTATTTAAATATTTCAGCACTCAGACTTCGGCCTTTTAACACAGAACATTTAAGAGTTCTTTTTTTTGAGTGCTGTGGACATGTCTCAAGCAATCTCCTACCCAGCAAGTTCAAGGCCCTGAATTCAAACCCCAGTGGTGTCAAAAAAAGGAAGAGAGAGAACTGAGGGGACAATGGGAATATAATGATATAACAGAGGGGGTAAACTGGTTCAAAGTACACTGTACATATTTATGAAATTACCACAATGAAATCCCTTTGTATTATTAATGTATGCTAATTCAAAAATATAATTAAATTATAATTAAATATTATAAATTAATTACAAAAATATAATTGTTTTGGTTCATCTTTTAGTTGGCTGTTTCCAGTTTTTTTCAAGAATGGGCTTATGAGTGCTCAATTCTCTCAGTTCCTGTAGTTTGAAAATTCTTCCTGCTATTTGCTTTTGTTGTTTTTGTTTTGTTTTGTTTTGTTTTTTGGTAGTATTAGGGATTGAACTCAGGGTTGTACACTTGCTAGGCAAACACTGTACCATTTGAGCCATGCCCCAAGTCCTCTGTCTATTGTTTGGATATTTTAGCAGAGCTAAGGCTGAGAGTAATGTTCTTGTGTCACGTTTTCCTTTCCTCCTTATTTTGCAGACATTTCTCCATCCTGTTTTCTTGCATTTTATAGTTCTGGGCAGAAACTGAGGTCTGTCATTTTTTATTTTCTTTTTCTTTTTGGTGGTACTGGAATTTGAACTCCGGGGCTTTACACTTGCTAGCAGGCACTCTTACTACTTCAGTCATGGTTCCAGCCCTTTTTTGCTCTTGCTGTTCTGGAGACAGGGTCTTGCATTTTGCCCAGGCTGGTCTGAACTGTGATCCTCCTATTTTAAGCTTCCCACATATCTGGGATGACAGGTATGCAGTACCACTCCTGGCTTTTTTCCACTAAGATAGGGTCTGGCAAATTTTTTGCCTTTGCTGGCCTGGAACCAATCTCAGCCTCCCAAGTATCTATGATTATAGATGTGAGTCACTGGCATCCAGCTATTTGCCCATTTTTAAATTGGGTTATCTGTCTTTTTGAGCTGAAACACTTCATTATATGTTCTATTTATGGGTTCCTTGTAAGCTATGTAATTTATAAAGAAATCCATCCATTCTGTTACACTGTCAATTGGTGTCATTTGAAACACAAAAGGCTTTAATTTTGACAATGCATTGCTGCCCTAGTGAGTGATATGCCCCACTCCTGCAGGATCCCACTCACAGCCCCACCCAGCACCAGAGTCAGGAAGGCACAAATGCTCGTGGTTTCCCCATGAGCCCCAGTATGATGCAGGGGCTTCCCGGATTGAGGATTCTATTAGACCTTTTTTGCAGCGCCCAAAGACTTTTCTCCATACTTCGGTCATCAGTGAGAACTATCAGAATTTTACAGCCCACCTGCTTTCCTTCCTGCAATACCGTTAGCAGGTCAATAAGGTGGCAGGTTTTGGATTGAGAGATGCACCATACCAGAATCTTTTGGTCCTCTCTCTGTCCACCACTTTCCAGTGTTCATAGAAATAAGTTGCAGTTCTTTATTTGGTATTGTTAGGATTAATTTGTTTTTATTGTTTTTAGTTTCATTATGTATTAAGGAAGGAAGCGTGGCCAGGCACTGGTAGCTAATACCTGTAGTCCTAGCTACTCAGGAGGCAGAGATCAGGAGCATCGCAGTTCAAAGCCAGCCCCGGGCAAATAGTCCAGGAGATCCTATCTCAAAAATACTTATCACAGAAAAAAAAAAAGGAAGAAGAAGAAGGAAGCTTCTATTATCCTACATCACCCTCCAGCTTTACCTAGAAGTCAATCTGGTACAACAATTTTAGAAAGCAATCTGGCACTGTGCTCATAGAGCTAAAAATGTTCTCTACTCTAAGTCAGAAATCCCACTTCTGTGAATTTATCATAAGGAAAAATTCACAATGAAAGTAATCTCTATATATGTGTATGCAACACCATCTGTGATAGCAAACAAGTAACTTATATGTTCTATATTAGGAGACCAGTAAAAAATATGTTTTAGAAGATGGATGGAATATTTTTCAGTCATTGCAATGATAGTTGCAAAAACTAAGTGTTTAACATAGCAAATATTTTTAAGAACAGATTCGAGCCAAGAACAGTGATGCATGTCTGTAATCCCAGCACCTGGGAGGCAGAGGCTGGAAGAGCAGGATTTCAAGGCTAGCCTGGGGTATATAGCAAGACCCTGACTCAAAAGAAAAACCTATGTCTGGAAGTATAGCTCAGTGGTACAGCACTTGCCTAGCACACACAAAACCATGGGTTTAATCCCCAGCACTGCAAACAAAACAAAACAAACAAACAAACAAAAACAGGACTTTAACACTCCATTATC